GTTTCGATCAAATCTAATTTTTGAGCGTACCCCTTTCACATGGAATGACCCATATATATATATATATATATATATATATATATATACACACATTAATATACATATGTATATTTATAATATATATAATCATATATAACTATATCACCACATTTATATGTAATTATATATTTTTATATATAAATATATTTTATATATGCCTTTTATATATAATAATATCTAATTACATATGGAAAATATATTTTCGGGCCATTCAAATTTACGAGATTTGTGCGATAATATCTCACCACGATAATGCACGACAGTATTTTTCGATACTTCTTATGACAATTTGCATGAGAGATTATTATTCGTTAATAAAGATTATTCGCGTAAAATACAGTGATTTGGAGTCCGAACTGCACGATATAGCGAACGTAACCTAATTCGACAACCCATTTCGCGAGATGTCGATCTTGCGGGCATTTGACGATAATTTTTTACAATATTTGCAACATCACCTTACTGTCGTTGCGATAAACGTACGAAACACATGTTTACTCTTCCGGCGACGATAATTAACGAGAAAGTCTTATTTTCGATAAGACGAAGTCGCGGCAAACATCCGGAACAGATTTTCGAATCCAAAGAGGCACGTTACATTACTCGCTACTCGGATCGGCGCTCCAATACAATTTGAATTGACCAATAGGCATCGCGGTTATGGAGATCTGTCTAATCCGATCGATCGAAAAAATACTTATCACTCAAATAAATCATTCTTATCTAAGAATGTTACGACATAACATTTTCTATCATACAAAAGCACCAATGTGATGAAAATTGATGTTTATTTTTTCAAACAAAATCTACATCAGTGCATAAAATGTGTTTTAATTTGCCAGTAAAAATAATGAGCCGGAAATAGTTAGGCATGTTATTTTGTAAGGATGAAATAGCGAGTCTAAAAATTGTTAGACCCGTTATTTTTGCGGTGACGTACATTAGTTCCTAAGTCTCCGCTATGAGTCGCTACTTTCCACTACAAAGAGTTATAGGTCGTAGTATGACTCAATAACGAGGCTGACGGATCTTCACTTTTTGAGTAATGTTACTCAACAGCTATATTTAATGTTTTTTAATTAGATAAATATATTTTAAGAAGGAACTAAGTTTTCTACATGTTCCCTGACCAGATTATCGTTATTGATTTCTTCATCCTTCATAAACAATTAAAACCAAATAATTCGCAATCTAAAATTAATGGGGAGAATTTACATTTCCAAAAGATATAAACCGCATCTGTATTGGATTTTTTGTTTATATGATGTAGCTCGTCAAATTTCATAAAAAATAATATTTTACGAATATTTCTGTAGCGTAAAAAATTTATGCGAGCGTTCATCCAGTAATATTTCTGAAAATTAGAGACTTCTAGTTGTGACCTCTTGAACCGTCTCATAACTTTTGCCAAAATTACAGTCCGATGAATTTTTTGTCGTCGGGGCAATTAATTCTTTAATTTTTACATCTAAAGTATACGATAATAAAGTATAGTCGATGAATCTCATTTTTAATTAGTTACACACAAAGATTGCAGTGCCACATTCATCGCTGTCCTTTTTTTGTCTTCCTCCTATATTTCTATTCCCGTGAAAATTTATGCCGCCTCATCTTGCGTGATTACCTCGGTTCCAGTGTGTGTGTGTGTGTTGGGGGGTCCCAGTTTGGCCAAAAAGAACAAATTCACCAACGACGGCACTGGTCGTACCTACCTACCAACGTATACCGTCCAACCGTCGAAGTGCCATCGCGAGGTGCGCGTTGCGCGCCGCTATGCTGAATCCCGACGTTATGACCGGCGGGATTTCTGACAGCTGACGGTGGAACGGCTTCCCGACGATGCCAGGCGACGCGCCACCCTGACCCTGAGCGTGACACGAACGAGTAGACATGCAAGGCATCTGCGAGAACATTCGTACGGCGATTGAACACGGACGCACTGACATTATCAGATCGCTTTTGGACGCGTGTACGTATCACAAACGCCGAATACTTATCCAAATACGTTCCGCTACGCGAAAAGAATGTTTCCCCGGTCGCGTCGGGAAACACAACATCGACATTCCCGTCGGAGATTCGAAGTTGAGGATTGCCAGTGGCGCGCCGGCATCATCGACTGTCCCATCTTCCACCTGTCTGTTTACGTTATTTATTTTCCTGCCGCAGGTGAAAATGGTAATGCCACAGAGAGTATTACGAGAGATAAGATATTGAATCAACCGGTTCTGGAGGAAGGAACATTTTTATCCTACGCCTCCAAGGTCTGTGGTATAAGTTTCTTCCATTGGTCTGTTGAGTTTCTATTTCTTCCTTTCCCTTGTTTTTTCTTTTTCAATTGGAGTATGTTCTCTTTGTATATTTAGACTAATCAAGCTGACATTGTGCGGACTCTTTTAAACTGCGGTGCTGACCCAGCTGTGCAGAATGCAAAAGGACACAATGCTGTAGATGTCGCAGCAAGTGATGCAATACGACGTATTTATATAGAGGAACTGTTGAGAGCGACAGCTGCTTCAGAGTATGTGAATAATTATCCACAATTAGATCTAAGTGTTGCCTTTTAAATGACAAGAGCAATTGGCATATATTAAGCATATCAAGCGATTAGACTTAAGCGTTCTCTCTTAGTCCAGATTTACAATAGATGTAGCAGGCTTCTAGTCTTTTGTTCTAAGAAAAATGTAAAATGTAACATAATTGTTGATCAAAGATATTCCTTATAGAACCAAAAGTCGCAATAACGTGCTTCAATCTTAGGAATTGCGACATCTGTTAGTACTGAAAATGCTTTTCGTTAGAAATTACAATTTAGTGCTCCGAATAAAAGGCTAAAAACTTACTACATCTATAGCAGATCCAGACTTAAGGACTGTCTACATTGGAAGTAAGCAGTAATAAGTAATAGGAATAGGAAATGGGAATGATTCATTTTGCTTACGCCCGGTGTTGCGTTTTATTAGAAGAAACCCTCTTATTCCCTACTCTGCACTACCTCCAACATAAACGGTCCTTTGAACAAGACAAGAACAATAAGCACGTATTAAACAGAATCACTAAGTATGGGCTCGAATTTCTTACAGAGTAGACAGAGTAGTGCAATTGTTAGATTCAGGATTAGACGTTAATTCATGGGACTCGCAAGGTAGCAAGAACACGCCGTTGCATTGGGCGGCATGTTACGGAAACAAGGACATCGTCGCGTGTTTACTTGGTAAAATATATATATATATAGAGAGAGAGAGAGAGACATCGCGCTCACGCGCCCCTCTTACGACGACGTTTCCTTATATTGGGCTCCTTGCACAGATAAGGGGGCCGACGTGAACGCTGAGAATGGTTGCGGCGCGACGCCGTTGCACGACGCGGTGAATCGCGAGGACGTTGCTATCTGCCAGGAGCTGCTGCAGGCCGGCGCGAATCCCCTCGTGCGAGCCACCAAAGGGTGAGCATCCGAATACGTCCGCTACCGTGTGACCGCATAAACTAGAAAAGTGACCTCCTTTCCAGGACGTTCGCGGGGAAGACACCGTACGATTTATCCAGGAAGAAGCAATCCCTGCACTGTTTCCTCCAGCGGTTCCTGTCGAACTTCATGTTGAACGAGAACGAAACGACGATGCATAGCCCCACCATCGCCCTATCCTCGTTCGCAGAGGGAAACTTCTGCCAGAAAAGCCTCTCGAGCAATATGAGCCAACTGTCAATCGACTCTACCAAGTCCTCAGATCCGGTGTACGATGTGCCTTTGCGTGACGCTAGCAAGGAGAGCCCTAACAAGTCCATCGCCGACAAAGGGAGTATCTACAACTTGCTGTGGCCGCAACCGAAGGCTGTGATCGAACTGAAGAACCTCACGGCTCCGTTCATCGCCGGAAAGGAGCTTTTTATATCAATAATACAGGTATTCTGATAGAGACAAATTGGCCATAGTTATATATGAAAAAGATCGACCCCACGAAATTCTGATATTTCAGATTTTGCTACTAATAAGTAGTCATACGTCTTTCTACATAAAACGAAAGACCCAAGCCGTATGGGCGCCTGAGATTAATTAAAAGACAGTTTTTATTTTCTGCTAAGTGTGCTATTTTTTATTAGTCACCTCTTTTTTACTCATTTTTTAACGAGTTAATTAATATCTTTTAAAATAGAAGAGAATGGACCATGCTTGACTTCTTGCACAACTGTGAAGAATTTCGGTGCTATTTATGGGCAATTTCCAAATTTAATTTTGCAAATATTCCACTAAAATGACTCGCCATATTGCTACTGTTTTGCGAAATATTATTTAGAAATTAATTGCAAATTGTATATATTTTCTTCAATATATTCGTTTAATTGCAGCGTCACATCATATCATGCGAGATTTCGTCATATAATTTCATTAACGTTTTCCTAAATATTTTTCTATCGAGGTAACTCTCGTGGATTATGAACGTCTAAGAAACGTGAAGGCCTGGGATATGCACAATTTCTCATAATTTCACTTACCTCCATATCGTATTCGCCTGCCTCTTTGCTTTGCATCTGACCGCACGTGGTGCGCAAATTGTTTCCCAGGGCAGCGAGTCTGTGCACAGAATACTGGACGTGTGGGAGATCAGTAGGACTCACCTGCTGGAGTTGGGCCACGATGTGAAGATCGGCGAGGTGCAGCCCAGTTGCGGCAAATTGCTCAACGACAACACGATCGAGTGCATCGTGAACGGAAACCTTTTCAACGTCGCGGACGGCTATCAGCTGCACATCTCGCAGAACTCCATCAAGGTGAGCGCCGGCAGTCTAGCGGGCCTGCATTACGCGGTCTGCACCTTCGTGCAGATTCTGCGGTTGAGCAAGAGCCAAAGCAGGTCAGAGGTGTGCGAGATAGAGCCGGTATTCATCAAGGACGAGCCGAGATTTGCTCATCGCGCCGTGCTATTGGATATCTCGCCCAGGGGACGCATACCGGCCTTGGAGTACCTGCTGCACACAATCGACCTGTTATCGTCCTTCAAAATCTCGCACTTGCACCTCTACTCCAGGCTTATACCGAACTGTGACTGGCAACTCTGCTATTCCAAATCCGAGATGGTCACTTTGGACCGATATTGCAGGTATGATCGTCGTATTGCTTTTGATAATTCGCATAAAACGCATTTTACCGGGCAAACCAATGAACATTCTTACAGAGACCGTCACCTGGACATAGTGCCCACGCTGGACGTCGAGTCCAACGTCGGCCAGCATCATTTGACGCAGATGTGGCCTATATTTCAAGAATTACTCGCAGTATTCCCCGGCTTAAGTTATGTTCACGTCGGCCCGCGACTAGCCAGTCTCCTGGTACAAGCTGACAATTTCGATCTGAACGCCTCTGCCAACGAAACTATTGAGACGGACATGTCGGAAGTATTCAAGTCCTATTCATGCCTCCAAGAACTCTGGCACATCCTCAACTTGAGCTCGAGCACAACTCTATTACTATGTTCCAACGGTTTACATTCCAAACCGGAGTTCCACAATATACCCACCAATATCGTACTCGTGGAGTACGGATTTCAGGTAGGCGTTCTTAGGTCAAAAAATTCTTCTGTATCTACCGAAACTATCTGTGTAAGCAATAAGCAACGTTTATTACGGAGATATTTCTATTTCAGGCTGATTATGATTTCTCTGAATGGACGGAAGCATTCAGAGTAGCGGGCGGAAACGTTTTACCGAGCTCCGGCACAGCCAGCTACAATAGCCTGGCGGGATGTCCGGCATCGACATATGCAAACACACGAAACGCGATAAAAACTTCCCTGGAACAGAACTCAATCGGTATCGTTGTCGCGCACTGGTCAGGCAGCCATCATCTCACGCCGCATCCTTTCGCATGGATCGGCTATCTGGTGGCGGCGGGTTTAGCGTGGAACCCGATAACGGAGATAGATTTGGGCCCCGACGACAGTTACGACATCCCCGAATTGTCTGCGTCGGTTAGGTAAGGTCAACATAACCCGGCGTCAGCGACAAAAAGGTTACAACAATTTTCTTTTTAAGTTTCGGAACGCATCCCATGTCCATTAGGAAAATTTTCTCAGCCGTCTTCTCAGGAGCATTTTTCTATTGGATATGAGATGCGTTTCGAAACTTGTCGGAAAAAAAAAGTGTCGCAATCTTTTTGTCGCTGACTATACAACGGATTGTTTCCTTTCGCCGACCACGTCTAATAAGGTCATTTCGTTTCTCACAGGGAGAAATGTATCACGAAATTGTTGGATATACACGTGTTTCAAGACTCGGAATATAAAATCGGCAGCGCAATTTTGGAGCTGGGACGTCTGGATACTTTGGTGCTGACACTGAGCAAAAATCAAGCGGTGAAGGATCTGCAACAAATCCCTGATAACCGTGGCTCGACTTTGTATAGGTTATTGACTGATCCGGACAACGTTAATCTTGAGTATCTTTCGGCCGATCTGTTTGCCGTGAGTAGGCCTTTATCTAGTATTCCTCGGGATATTATCTTTGAAAAAACCTACATATACATTTTGTGGTATCATTAAGGCTGACACATAGGCCGATATTTAGTTAAAGAAGTTACATATAGTAAGTTTCTTGCATTCTTGTATAGCTTTATTTTTTTTTCGTTTTATCTGAAAACCGTAATGGTTTCGTAATCCTGAAACCTGTAAAATAAAACTGAGATATTTGACCTATATATCACATAAAATAGCAAAATAATTCCTGAAATAACGGGTCATTTTTCAGCCATCTCAGCTATCACAACCGCCTTATTTTGCGATTCTACGTGACATGTCAGCCATATATCTCAGTTTTCTGCACATTTTTTTTACAGGTTTCAGAATTAAGCCGAGCCTTGAGATGATCTAACTATGAATACCGCCAGTTAACACACAGTGACACTTTCAATCGCATAATATCACTAAAAAAATTTCTTGTTGCGTGCCTTGCAGAAAATGACGAAGCAGATTAAGCGGATATCCCATTCCTTGTACGAGGCGAATCTCTCATCGAAGTTCGCGTCGATGGAGATACAGGAGCTGCAACTGACCTCCGACCTGATGCTGACGGCTTGCAAGATCGGCCGGACATTGATCGGAGTCGGCGTGAATCCTAACAGCAACATGGGACTGGCGGTCATCAATCTGGGAGTGTGCAACCTGCCGCCGACCTTCAGAACGGACATTGCGAATAAGATGTTGGCTCACATCGAGCAGTACAAAGGCTCCTGGCTGCAGAGGCATCTGCCACAGGGCCTTCAAAGCTCTTTGCTAGTTTTGACTAGCGCACTGCACAGATTCGTGCCAGAAACATAAGTCTTTTTTTAAGGACACGTTGTAGTACCGAGCATCTCGGTGAACGGGGGAACGTCCGAAAAACGCTGTGAGAGAGCGACAGTCCGAGAAACCATTTTTTTTTTTTTGGACATCTTTTGGTCCTCTGTGTCGTTCAGGATGTTAGTCGACAGAAGTTCCGATAAAAGACTGCAATGTGCGAATATACATGGTAGATGAAACACACATTACATACAGATACATCTCCCCCCGAAGTGAATTCGACAAACGACTGCACAGAGAGCAATATAACACTTGTACCTTTATATGATTATGTACTAATTATACGATTGTATATTCACTGTGCAATATCGTTTGCCCGATATCCGCCGGAGAGAATTCACTCTCAAGGGGTCAAAGCGCTTTGTTGAGAAAATATAATTTTGTTCATGCGGCGAAAAATTCCGATTATAAATGTTCATTTTATTAAATACAGAAACATTTATTAACTACGTGTATTGTTATTGATTGTTATATGTGAGAATCGTGGTTGATGTGTAATTAGCGACAAATCATGATCGCGCCATTCGCTTCCGCATGAACATGTGTAGTTTGCAAAAATAGAAGTCGGAGTCCTTTACAATGAGGTAATATATATTTTCCATAATACCATCAAATTTGATACAATTATACTATCTTATATAATAAATATACATTGTTCACATGCAATAAATATCATCGATGCGATAACAATTATTTTATCATGGATAACATTCCAGGAAAATATGATTATATCTGAATTTTGTCTTTCATATGCTCATATATAATTATACACGTCACAATTATACATACATCTAAAAAAGATGTTATACGAATATAATTGAGGTAAATATTTATGTTTATGACTATCCATAATATAAACACTTAATTGAATCTATTTTTTTTGTTTTTCATTCAACAGTATTTTTATTTCGCGCGCGTATGGACATATATAAATATATATAATTATATATGTAGACATTCAAAATTCATATATAAATCGCATATAATTATATTATATATAATTTTATGGGATTATATTTTTTCCCGGCATACTTTTCACATATGTGCATATTTTATAGTAAATATATGTAGATATAAATCTCACTGCTAGTTAATGAAAACAGACTTTACTATTATTTAAAAGTGATAGAAAAATATCAATTAGAATTGTTCGAGCCTCCATTATTAGTTGCATTTATATAATAATGAATGAATCCTGAGTATAGTATTAGCACAATAATATTGCAATTAGTCAATTAGAATATTCATTTTATCAGATCAGGGAGTACTTGAAATGTATTCTGGCATGGAGAATTTACATAATAAATTTAAGTAATATTCAAATATTATTTAGAATAAAATGCATCTTTCAGTGCAAAATTCATTAATTATGTTCAGCTGATGATATATTATCATTATTTATAAGATTATTTCTCCTTTGTTCACTCCATCCACCCATCTCTAAATCTCGTTTGTGAAGCATCTCTTTCTCAAGTGCTTGAAGCCTATAAAACTCGTTGATCTCAAATTGATATTTGGGTGCCGTTATTCCAAAAAAGTTGGCTAGAAATTCACCAACATAATCACAGCCATCCAACATCTTTGAACTCAACCATGTGGTCTGGTACCACGCCCATGGTAACCACTTCATACTTTTCTAGAAAATAATATGAAAATAATTGTTATAATCTTGTTATTGTAATAATTGGCCTGTTCTTTTCAGCTGAATTGGCTGCGCTAGTTTAAGAAATTTTTACACATTAAAGCCTAAGAATTTTATATATATACTTCATAAGCTTCAATATATATATATATTCTTGAATTAATGTAACCAGCTAAAATGAACAGACCAATTAATTCCAATCGATATAATCTGCAAATAATTACAGGATCTATCTGTGACACTGTTTTATTGCTTTTCGGCATATCAACTTCATCTTCTGAGGAATATTCTTCCATCAAGCCATCCGAAAACTGTAGCATCCTCTTTGGTTTCTTATCTAATTGAATTTTAGTCTATGTAAAGTAACATTCATTAATTTTCGAACATTGCAATAAACAGTTTTATAAGTTTTATAAGTTTTATAAGTTTTCCTTAGATATATATGTTGTGTTCATGTATTTTCAAATAATTAAATTAATAATTTTGAAATAAGTAGAAAAAAAGTAAAAGTAGAAAAGTTTCAAATCACTTAAGTGACTTTCACACTAATTAGTGTAAAGAGAATTTACTTTGAAACTTATTATGCTGTTTGAAATTAAGTTGTTAAATTATATCCTCTTTTCAGAAACAAATAGATCTTTTATAAACGCAATTTGTGCATCGTCATTCTGCTAAGGCATTTGATAATTGCAAATTACCGAAATAATCATCGAAATGGAATCTTTTTTGAGTATGTTATCAAGTACGATAGTCACAGCACAGATAACAAGGATCTTTTAAAGCACAAATTCCACGTTCGCTTGGAAACAATAGGAACAGAAGTTTAAGGCCGACTGTCGGCATTCAAAAGTGTCAACATTATATACCTGAATGCCTACGTCCGAGCATTCTTGCAAGATTACTTCACTCAAATCGGAAGCTTCATCCCTGTCCAGCGTCATTATCGGCCGTATCTTGTGATAACCGAAACGTTTTTTCACTAATCCGCGCCTCTGCGCCTTGACAGCTCTCGATAACGCGTCCAGTAAACATACACTCCTCCTCCGCGTGTTGTTCAGCTGATTCATTTGACAATCACGATTTGCAACGGGCGACGTGAAGCAACGGTCGACGGTGCCAAGCGAGATTCCATTGGTGGTTCGCTACGGGTCAATCGATATCCTCACGATGACGTGTGTACGAGCCGTCACGCAGCGCTGCGCTTCTCAGTACTCGAAAATTTAAGTCCTGCGCACAATAGGACAAAATATATTGGACATACGTTAAAATGAATGCACTTTTTCGTCCGTAATAACGACGCATCCATGTATACAAACATCATAAAGTTATTAAAATATTAAATAAATTTATCATGTTCCCAGGAATTTTATAGCGATCTTCTTCAACGGAATATTGTAATTCTATTTTCTCTGACACCATCTCTGTAATATTACATTATAACTTGCAATGCTGCAATGTTCCCGCAATGTAACTGCAAGTTTCCGTGTTGTATGAGTTATTCCTAATATATTTTCATTGTGCGCAAGACCTTACCGCAAACGGCCACCTCGAGCGATCTCCCTTTATTTTCCTTTTTTCGATTCGCCGGGCGTGCGTGCGCAGCTACGTTTCGCACCTCCCCAGTGAATCTTTCGTTCCTAACTTGCGAGCGTTCCGTAGCCACGTTCTGATTGGCGGAGCGCAAGGGGACTTATCCTCCACTAGGGGAGCCGTGTCGATTCTCGCATCCTCGACTGGACTTGACGTTGAATGGCGACACAACGACGGACAGCAGTTCATACTGATCGAAGCAACGAGACGCAGAGACGAACGGTTCGCGGCCGAGCCAGCTCGTTGTGACATGGGTGGTGTCAGATCCTGAAGTGGAGATACTTGGCCCTGTGCAGTGCGAGCTGGAAGTTGTCTCTGGTGCGGCTCACAGGGCAGGTGAACGGTCAAGCGAGGAAGTGAGAGCCAGCGGAGGAGCAGTCTGCATCGTGCCTTCACGACGCTTGAATTATGTGAGTGTCGGACGCTCTCGTTGCGAAGCGTGACGGTGCAGACGGTAGTGTCGCTCGTGACTCTTGAACTATGTTTCACCACGAGTACGAGAAGCGGCTGTGCGTGAAGATCACGGCGGACGGCGGAGGGGCGACGGGTGTTGCTACGTCCGTCAGCTCGGCCGCCGCCGCCTACTCGCCAGTCTACTTCTCGCCCACAAAGACATCGGCGGGCAATAACAGCTACGACCGTTTCATCCCGACTCGATCGGGCAACAACTGGCAGACCATGTTCTCTATGATCAGCGAGAACAGCCGTGGTGGTCTGGTGGCAAAGAAGACCAGGGAAAACGGCGAAGGCAGTCGCGACGGTATCGCTTACTCCTGCTTGCTGAAGAACGAGCTACTGGGTGCGAGCATCGAGGACGTGAAGGGCCAGTGCGAGGAACGCCGGGTGCTATCGCCGTTGGTGACGAAGAATCTTTTCAAGTACACCACACCCACCAAGGATCGTACTCTATTAGACCAGAGCTCACCATACTCTTTGTCACCGCTGAGCGCAAAGAGCCAGAAACTGCTGAGGTCGCCCAGGAAGGCCACCAGGAAGATCTCGAGAATACCTTTCAAAGTGCTGGACGCGCCCGAGTTGCAGGACGACTTCTACTTGAACCTGGTCGACTGGTCCTCTCAGAATGTCCTCAGTGTCGGTCTGGGCAGCTGTGTTTATCTCTGGTCGGCGTGCACCAGCCAGGTGACTCGACTATGCGACTTGTCCAGCGACGGTAACAGCGTTACATCCGTTGCCTGGAACGAGCGGGGCAACCTGGTGGCGGTAGGCACGCACATGGGCTATATCCAGGTATGGGATGTGGCGGTGAACAAGCAGGTGAGCAAGTTGCAAGGTCACAGCGCTCGAGTAGGCGCCCTTGCCTGGAACGGCGAGGTGCTCTCATCCGGCAGCAGGGATCGGTTGATCCTGCAGAGGGACGTGAGGACGCCCTGCGTAGTCGGCGAACGACGCCTCGGTGCTCATCGGCAGGAGGTCTGCGGTCTCAAGTGGTCGCCGGACAATCAGTACCTGGCATCCGGCGGCAATGACAATCGACTCTACGTGTGGAACCTGCACTCCCTCTCACCTATCCAGACTTACACAGAGCACCTGGCGGCGGTAAAGGCGATCGCCTGGTCGCCCCATCATCACGGACTGTTGGCCTCCGGCGGCGGCACCGCCGACCGCTGCATCCGCTTCTGGAACACGCTGACCGGCCAGCCGATGCAGTCGGTCGACACGGGCTCGCAGGTGTGCAACCTCGCGTGGAGCAAGCACAGCTCCGAGCTGGTGAGCACGCATGGCTACTCGCAGAACCAGATTCTCGTGTGGAAGTACCCGAGCCTCACGCAAGTCGCCAAGCTCACCGGCCACTCGTACCGCGTCCTCTACTTGGCGATGTCGCCGGACGGCGAGGCGATCGTCACCGGCGCCGGCGACGAGACCCTGCGCTTCTGGAACGTCTTCAGCAAGGCCCGCAGCCAGAAGGAGAACAAGTCCGTGCTGAATCTGTTCACGAGCATCCGGTAAACGTCGCGCCGAGAGGAAGGAGGAACAAAGGGGTGGTCGTGTTCGCGTCATCGTCGTCATTTTTTTTTATGTATCTGTACATATACACATACATATACACACATATATATATATATATATATCGCCTCTCGAACACACGGTCATAGAATTCTATAAGAATTATGATATACACGTATAGAGGAAAGAAACTATATATATATATATATAGCTTCTATATATATATATATACGCATATATATATACAAAGGACGTATATAAATTACGTTAAATATATAGTATAGAGGAAAAAATTTCAGAGCTGTATTAGAGGTAAGGACTGCGCGGTTTGCAATGTATAGGTTAAGTTCGCGAGAGTTCTTTGTGACAGCCTGCAATACAGTGCTCGTCGAGTACTCGTCTTGTGTGCAATATTCATCCGCTGAGACCCGGACGGGGAGTGAGGCAGAAAGCGTACGAGGAAATGGGAAATTGCCTATCCGCGTTTGTCGCGCGAGCTAGATGTTTTCTATATTTTTTTATGTACTTTATATACACACACTTATTTTTATACTGTCGCCACACAGCTATGAGTGTCGTCTAAGCAAGGTGTCGCGGGAACCGCGGCCCCCGGAATTTCAGTTCTGCATTGTCGATTAGTTCTACATTAAGAACCGATTGCTGTAGCTTCCAGGTAAAATTTATCCGACAGACATCTATTAGACGGACTAATTAACAGCCATTAATGTTTATCTAATAACAGAGTTGGGAAGCCATTTGTTATTTGTAACGTCATTACTTCTTACCTTTTTTTTCTATAACGATTTAATAACGTATATAATGTCATTTTCATTAGTAACGATAACGGGAAAGCAGTTGTGTGTGTACGTGTGTGGAGGGGAGGGCCAATAGTAACAAAAATATAATTATTAATTTGCATATATGTACAATACTAATTTCCGGAAGTAACGCGTTACTTTTAAAGTAACACATTATTTCCTAACTCTAAAATAATACGTGTAGATGATCGATGTATGTGTAGATAGAAGAAGACAAATTTTAACGTCATGTAAAACCTTTTTTCTCTAACAACTTGAAATATAGCTGGGTATCTAGACATAATATTTTACATGTTTGAAAAGTATATATAATGCGTTACTCGTATCGAACAAAGAATGCGTTACTCCTAACTCTATCTAATAGTTACTTGTCGGACAAATCTTATCAAAAAATTAAAACTATCGGCTCTAGGTTTTCAAAGGTCGTCTATTGTGCTCTCTTTGATGCTATAAATGGAAAGTTTCCATCTTTTCCGTCTTGAAGATTTAACGTAGAATTTTTAATTCTACCCCTCGAAAATTTTTCCCTTCGAAAAATCTAAATTTCTTTTATATCATCATTATCATCGTCCCAATGATGCTGTAATTGTGAAGTTATTGCCTTTTTCTTCGCTTGACTTTATGTAGAACCAGGTAGATTCAATGTAGGACTAAAATTTTGACTCGGATCTTCACTTCAATCACGCGCTCGGCGTCGACGTTTCCTCAGCCAGATCATCCGTATAATTCAAATCAAGCGAGTAAATCGACCGAAATTTCAGGATGATCGAGTGTCACGAAGTCTCATTCACGTTTCGCTATCCCTCTTTAATTAGTGAGATGTTTAATTAACGAGCAGTGTAGGAATGTCGAAATTCTCGTTTTCCGGGGTCCCTTTGCGAGGAAACGTAAACGTTGAAAAAAAAGAAATTATAATTGAAGTTGAGATTAACCATACCGTGACACCCTCTGCATCACGCACTTGTGTTTTCATATATTCTATTTTACATATGTACGCATATATATATATATATATATATATATATATGACGTATATCTATGAGAGTTATACTTTGCCGCCACTTCGTGTTTCGATCGAGCGTTCATAGAGAAACGACCGTTGTGACTTTCATAATCCTGCAAAATCTCACCCTCCGAGAGCGCCTGCCGATATTACCGTGTCTCGGCGACTTCTTAGAATACGCGTTATCCGAAATACTTGCAGGCTGATCGGAGAAATCGGAAAGGAAAGAGAAAGATCAGAATGTGAGAAAGGTCTTACGCCCGGGTCCTCCGGATCTGCGTCCGGAAAGAAGTCCCAGGCTGCGTCTTGTACCTCTTTCTTTCTTATATCATCTACAATTCCGTTACACTTATAAATTACCCACACAACATATATATGTCCAAGAGACGTTGTTTAAACGTCTTATTGTCCCGAAGACGTCTTTATGACGTTTCACGTCTTAATGTTCTCTGGATATCGCTTATAAATTACGCTTACATTAATACCGTTATATTATTTAGGATCCAATATGCTGTCAATATGCGTTATATCAAGAACAAACTGAACAAAGTCCGCCGGATGCGGATCGGAGCACAATTTCGTTACGCTCGCGCGCGACCAACGCTCAACTTGTAGCCCGCCCTTGGCAAGTTTGTACAAATTTCAGTTGAAACGAGAATTGTAAGTTATAAAGAACGTCTGCTAATTTATACATTATAAAAGACAAGAAAGAAAATATACATGATAGATATCGTCCGTACTTTGTGCGTGTGTGTGTGTTATTCGCGAAGCGAAGTTGGAGAGAGAGGAATCGACGGAAGAAAGTTTATACGCGTGCAGCTTGCGAACGTAATTAGCGTGATAAATTTTCTCCTCGTTGTCGCGTGTATTTGCGAGCAGATGCGTGTAACGGAGCTATCTACCACGAAGTAAAAGGAAGAACCGAGGGCAAATAGTTGTGGTGTCGAAACCGGAGGATTGTAGTCCTGTCGCGTCGTCAAGCCGAGCGCGAGTAAATGGCGATTAGTGTGCCGTGTTATATGTTATTGCGCAATTGTCACGATATATAGAGTATTTTTGTACAATTGTTCCTGTTGCGCGTTCGGAAGAACACGCATTCACCAGGAAGACGGGGGAGCGAAGGGACGTGCCGGATGTAAGGCCGGAAGTAAACCAGAATGCAAATCACAGCAGTGTGATTTTATTATGCGCACCGCATTATGTACACGCTTGGATACACACGAGCTTCTTTACGGTGGTGAGCCAACAGTACGTGTAGGATGTGCTTTCGCGCAATTTTTTTCTTGCACGACGCGACCGATATAACGTGACACGTGATCCGCAGATAAAAACGAAACATTTTTTTTGTTTCCTAGGTAATAGATATGAGAAAAACATGTATGCGCGTGTATGTACGAATGAGAGTATGCGTGCGTGTGTGTGTGTGTGCGAGTGAATGTGGGGCTGTGGACAATATCAGTTCTATGAAATGTAATGGAATGAGAATATATAGGGATAGAAAGAAAAGATATATATATCGTGTATGAGTCGGACGGCCAAAGCTGTAAATGCATCTATTTTTCGATGCATACGCAGTGTATAATTCGCAAAACGCGATGAATATCGAAGAAGTAAGACGAAGGAAGAAGCTGTCAATAGTGCTAATGTATGCAAATTAGACACCACCTAGTCAAGTCGTAGGTATTTAATCGTGACAAGTACCGTTGAAAGCTTCTTCGACACTCGGTAGATCCTCTTATGAATATCTCTCATGATTAATTAATTATTTATGAACATTCGCGCCGATGGCATCACCGATTGCGTCTGATAGAAGTGATATTGTTTCGCTGTCTTGACGTGTGTGCGAACGCGTGTGTTTAGCAAACCGAGAACATCTTGTGTTCTCTGAGAAGATGCGTTTATTTGCGTGAATTTACGTGAAGTTCGTGGTGGTACGCACATCGAATGTGTGTATGTATGTACATACAGCCGGTCACAGGACGGTTATGACAGTTTTTTTTTATGTTTCGGAACACATAAAATACGATGAAAAACGAACCTATGATCTACGAACATGCGCGGTTGATAGTTAGTTGTCAAAATTACATATATACATATAATTTTGATATACACATATCTACGTATAATGTTGACAGCTGTCTGACCATCTATCGCGCACGTTCGTGAATCATTGGTTAGCTTCGTCGTATTTTTTATATGTTCTGAAGTATGTAAGAAAAAAAAACTGTTGCAACCGTCCAACGTTCGATTGTCATCAGCACGGGTATCATTCGAATTTGCACGGTATTATTGCAGATGCAACGGTATCTGTCATATATTGCATCGATCGTGGCTCGATCAATGTTCAAACCAGACATTCATACGTACCGCGTGTAGCAAATATATGACGGGCTATTTTGATCTTTTGGCAGTCACGCGGGAAATTGGCAATCGCGTAATCGGCTTTCGAATCATGATCATCCGAAATCCGTACCGCGCGTGTAACGTGGAAACATTCGTTGCCAGTCGTTGCTCTGTGTTCTTTCAAGTCAGAGAAAAATAAGAAGAAACTGGAGTTGTGCTAATTATATCATAGAAATCTACGCTAATTGTCAAATTAAGTATATATATTGTAATGTAAGATATTTAGCCAGTCAGTTTTGTATCTATCATTAACTTAGCGACAATTCTCCAAGTGAACTTTGTCGTTTACGGCGTCATATAATCATACATTTGTACAATCTAATTATAGTTTATGCCTTTCTGGAGTTTATATATTTTTTCCGTAAATTGAAAGCAAAATTATGTATTAATATATACGAAACGCGTAATTATTCTTTCAAGAATTTGGCTATTGTGCGTAATTGTTATGTAACTGTTTCAGAGTCACGCATAGAGTAAATAAAATATAAATGTTAGAATAAAATATCTAATAGACTTAACAGTTATATTTGCGTATCACATGGGGTAAATAAAGTGATTCTGTTATAAAAATACTCTCTCGGGTTTTTCATCTCGACACTCCTTTTATGTTAAAATCATCGAAGGCGACTATAATTTTGCTTTAATCTATCTTAACTCTTTGTCAGCAAAGGGGGAACATGAAGACCCAACCAATTCTTTAATTGTGAATTCTAGAATAATTGGTATATGGCAGTGTTCGGTTAAACTTATCATAAAAAAAACTTGGTTATAGTGAAACGATATGTATGTTAAAAATGTTAATATCTAGTTGTTCGTCTTCGAATAAGAACGGTTAAGACATGCATTTAAATCCTTAATCCACTCCTCGATCCATTTTGCAGACCGCATATTTTCGCTAATTAATAATTTGGATTTTTTCGCATTTTACATGCTTTTGACGGTAATTTCAATGAATATATAAAAGATTTTGTTCCTAAATTATTTTCAAAATAGACTTTTCTATGTTTTACATATATATTTTTTTATTGATTTTAATAAATATAGAAACGTTTTTTTTGTAAATGGATTTTTTGTTTTACGTGTTTTCTTGATAAAAAACTATGCATGTATGTTAAGCCTGTTCGGGAAAAAGTAATTATATATAATTTATATAAAATCATATATGAATTTTGCCCATATATGTGGTTACATATATGAGCATACTTTTTTTTCCGGGGACCGGAAGGTTTTATCCATCGGTTCCTCCTATCCGGAGGCTTCGTCCTCAGAACCCCCACCTGCCGGGGGCTCTGCTCACGGTACCTTCGGTTAGAGGACTTCGCCACCTTCGACCCCGAGTTCTCCCCGGTCAAGGGTCCCGGGGGCAGAACTTCCGGGTAAAGGTTTTGGGCCAAACCCCCTAGTAAGGAAATCCGGAGGGCAAAAACTGATCGGGAAATCAGGGAAGCGAAGCTCTTCCATTCCACATCGCGATTTCTTTTGCGGTAAAAAAAAATGTGAGAGTTAGAAAATTCCAAGTCCCTTGAGGCAAGTTGGCAACTGGAGCACCGATGAGAAGGCGAGATTCATGGAAAATAATTTCAAAGTTCGGATACTAAACCTTGCATAGGAATTTTCGTTAATATTGTCAGAACCTGTTTTAGTATAAAATAGACTCAACAAATTTAGTGCGGAATTACTCTATACGCTACCAAAGAAGGAGAGATAATTATACACAGAGTATAAAGATTCTTAATAAACGAAATTTATGGATATATTAAACAATACATTTTTTGATTTCGCCATTACAATCGGCTCATTGCGTTATGATTTATAAAATAAATTTATAAATTGAAGTTATAAATCTCCTTCCTGCATATAGATGATTCTAAGCTATGTTTCTTATCCTTTTTCTTCGACTTGGTTCCCACTTGCGCTTCTTATACACCAGAAGACTCTCCAGCGTCCTTTGTTGCAATCATTGAGCTATGTATGGGAAATTTGGATATAAGCGAATAGTTTAATAACTTTTTTTAAGGGTGGCATTCAATGGCACTTATTTTCTGCGTAACGCTTATCGCGTAACTAACCTGCGTAACGCTTATCGCGTAACTAACATCTTTTTAATATTTTAGAAGTTCCGACAGCAATACTAAACGTCGCAATTAATTGATTACGCATTCGCAGAAAATACATGAGATGCCATACTGAAGGCAAGACTGCGTATGAACAAAGGCCCACGAAGAATTTAAAAATTGAAGACTGACGTCGCGAGGCGCTCTCGCACGCCAACTATTGGTCTTTTTAGTTGAACTGGCTGCACTAGGTTCAAGAAATTTACATACATATTGAAGCATATAAAGCGTACCTGCGACATTCTCACGCTTCAATATGTATAAATTTCTTGAACTAGTGCAGCCAGTTTTGCTATAAAAAAAAGGGTAAGTCAGAATCGCGCGAAACCGTTGTAAATATCGGACGGGAAAGCTCCCGGAGGCGAAGCTCAATGTTGTAATGACAGAGAGTGATGCTCGGATAAATACAGAAAAGTTGTAATTGTGAAGAGCGAACAATTATAAAGACGTTTGTTTTTCATATATTAATTTCATATATTAGCAAGCAAGATTGTTATTTCGTAAAATATTGTGTGATTTATTATACCGATATTTCGACATTACAGCTTATACTATGGAGACAAGATGATAGAGACCGTAATGACAAAATTACTTTAAAAAAAAAAAGGGGGGGGGGGGAGGAAAGGCGCCAACTAAATATACACTTAAAGTTGTTGCTCCAAGTGTTGTACAAAAAAATGTTATCTTGTTTCCTTTACAAAGTAGCGAAATCAAAATGGTACGCCAAAAGGCAACGAGGAAATATGTTGTCTATGAAAATAGTAAGTCTGGGGGTCGATTGTGTATCTCAAAACGTAGTGAGAATGACAAAAGTGAGCGAATTTACTAGAATATTTATAATTTCATTGATCAACACCTAAGGAATTTGCTCATTTCTGTCATTCTTACTACATACTTCTTACGTTTTGAGATATACAATCGACCCCTGGATGTGAAGGTCATCCAAAAATGGGGTAAACTAGATCTCCTAGATAGAGAAGGCGGCCAGTCCTTTAAAGACAGTCTACATTGGAGGTAGTAAAACGGTGGAATAAGAGAGTTTCTTCAGTGAAATAAAGCGCGGGTGCCAGCCAAATGGATCATTCCCATGATCATACTTCTTATCGCCTTACTGCCAGCCAATACCTTACTCTTTACTGCCTGCTCCCAATGTAGATATCCTTTACTTATTACTGCTTACTTCCAATGTAGACGGTCCTTTACATATGTTTCTTCTTTTTCTTCTTTTTCGATGTGTCGATCAAGTCTGTTTGCTCCACTTGCGCTTCTTGCGCGCCAGAAGTCTCTCCTACGTCCTCCGTTGCGATTACTGAACTATATTTCTTCTTCTTTTTCTTCGGCGCGTCGGTCGGCTCTGTTTCCACTTGCGCTTTCTGCGCATCAGAAGACTCTCTTACGTCCTCCGTTGCCATCATCGAGCTACGTTTCTTCTTTTTCTTTTTCGATGCGTCAGCCGGCTCTGTTTCTACTTGCACTTCTTGCATACCAGAAGACTCTTCTACGTCCTCCGTCGCGATCGTTGAACTATGTTTCTTCTTCTTTTTCTTCGGTACATCGGCCGGTTCAGTTTCTATTTGCGCTTCTTGCACACCAGAAGACTCCCCTATGTCCTCCGTAGCGATCACCGAGCTATGTTTTTTCTTCTTCTTCTTCGGCGCGTCGGCCGATTCGGTTACTACTTGCGCTTCTTGCACACCAGAAGATTCTCCTGCGTCCTCTGTGGCGACTATCAAACTGTGTTTCTTCTTCTTCTTCTTCTTTGGCGCGTCAGTCGGCTCGGTTTTCACTTGCGCTTCTTGCACACCGGAAGACTCTCCTACGTCCTCCGTGGCGATCATTGAGCTGCGTTTCCTTTTCTTCTTTTTCGGCACGTCGGCTGACTCTATCGGTGCCTCTTCCTGCACACCAGAGGATTCTTCTGTTTCTTCCGTTTTGACTTCTACACTGTGCTTCTTCTTTTTCTTCTTCTTCTTATCGACCTCCTCGCTGTCCTGTTGTGGTTGTCCGATCTCCTCGATCAAGGGCTTAGATGCATGTTTCAGAGTAGAGTCGATGGACGTAGGATATTGCGCGTACTCGTTCGTGCTGTGGTACTTCTTGAACTTGGACTTCGCTGCGGCGGTGCCGCTGATTTTGCGTACGCTACCAGCCTCGAGGAACCGCAGCCGTGCCTCCAGTTTTTTCTTATGTTCCGTGCCGAGGTCGAAGTTGGAGCTCTCGCCCAACGCGTCAACCCTCGTCGCCAAGGAAGCCTTCGCCGCCAGCATCCTGGACATCTTGCCCTTGTTCTTCTTCGAGGACTGGCCGATGAGGTTCGCATGATAGATCAGACCGTACTTGGGCGTGTCCTTTTTCATTTTGAGCGCGCGGAAAAGCGCCTTCTCTGCGCCCAGGATCTGCACGGTGGAGGCCGGATGCTTGGCGAGATTGACGAGGGAACCGGCGTGCGACATGAGACGCGCCCCGACCAGTTCGCCCACGAGTACCGACAGATTCGGCGCCAACGCCATCATTCTGGACTTCAAGTAGTCGGACAGTTGGGCCCTGTAGTTGGACAGTTGGATTATCTCGGTGCACAGGTACTGCGTGAATTCAGCGTCCTCCTCGGAGATCTCGGTGCCCACTGAAACCTCCGCGGCCTCCTTCACTTGTTGCTCGACCTCCTCGGGCAGGATGTCCGACAGATCGCACTTTATGACGTTGTCCCGTATGCCAACTAACTGCACTGTCTTCACGTACGCCATATTGTCCTGAACGATCTTACTAAGCTCGGGGAAATGCCAGCCGTACCACTCGCGGCATCGCATCATGTAGTTATTCAGCTCCTTGTCCAGCTCATCCAACAGATTCACCGCCTGTATCACCATAATGTCGACCTTGTCGGGCGAGAATTTCAGCTTGTACCTGGAAAGACTGTGCGCCAGGCCTAACCTCATCGCCGTCATCTCCTTCTTGGATACCCCGACCAACAGACTGTCCAATTGACTCCTGATACATCTCATCAATTCTTGCACCGACGTATTGGCTACACAATTCAAGCCTAATTTGTCTTTTATCGCATTGCCCAATTTGACATCGGCGACTGCTATTTGGTCCGTCGTCTCACAATATTTTCGGAGAGTCTTCTTCAGGGACTTGCACAGTTTACCTTCCCCAGCTGCTGTGATGGCTGCCAATGCCTCGGTTGTGTCTTCAAACTTGTAAAAATGCTTCAAACTAATTCTATAAAGAGAGAGATATCGCCAATCAATATTCAAGCTATATAAAGCTATATAATATTCTGTTCTATTTGCAGGCAAAAAAGTTAGCTTCAAATTTACAAGAGTAACATATAAGTACACACATGCATGCATGGAAGTGGTTGAAAATAGTGAAAAAAGTAAGTTTCATTCTTGAAAAAGTAAGAAAATAGTGATCAGCTTTAAAAAAAAAAAAGAAAGTGAGTAAAAAGTAAGTCTTTTATAAATAATTTGTACATTAAAAATTAAATTGTTTATCTACTACATCATTCCTGTGAAGGGTTAAATAAACACACTGACTTTATAGTGAAAATCAATGAAGAGCAAAATTTGAATTGAGGGAAACAAAAAATGCATAGAACACATAGAACATTATGTAATACATAAAAGTTATATGTAAAATTGAATTTAAATTCAGTCTTAGGCATATATTTAAACGCAATAAAACTCTTCGCAAAAAAACAAAAATTAAATTCTTTGTCTTTTCTTAAACAAAATTTAATGAAATAAAATAAGAAATAATATTTGAATCCAGTTAAGTCACACTGCAATATATTCCCAGGATTTTGGGACATTCCATATCTTTTCGTAAAATAAAAACAAATTTTTGAAATAAATGAATAAAACATTTAAATTACAGGTTTTTCCATTGGAAACAGACTGGTTAATCAAGTTAGTCTTAAGAATAACATTCAAAAAATAATATTCAATAATATTAAATAATATCCAGTTTAAAGAAAACATGATTAAATATGCTCATGACAGTCAATATCTTTTTTTCTTCAATTTATTTGTTAATAACTTATTGTTAATAACTGTTCTGTTTGAATGGACAAATCATGGACAACAATCGATTCCACTATTACTTCATACTTATTGTGTTTTTCTGACAAACTTGATTAAAAATAGCTTAAAAATAAAACCGTCAAAGTCATTGTTATGTTCTACTTCCTTTAAATCTTTTGTTTTATTTGTGAAGTATTTTTAATATTGATATTTTGATATATACTTTGATTGAATTTTTTCCTAAAAAGTAAAAAAAATGAGGTATTTCTAAATAAGTAAGGAAAACTGAGAGGTTTTAATTGCCTGTACATATAAATGATACAAAACCTTTCTATCAATGCATGTATACGCAATTAACTACTATTAAAGATTATAGATGCACACAGACAATACAACGACGATTTCTACGAGTTCTAAGTGATACTTGCAATTCATGGGCGATTTCCGGCGTCCTGAAGTCCAAGTACAGATTCTCCGACTGTTCAAGTTTATTATCGTCCAGCAGCTAAAAAAAAAGGTCACTTCATTGTTACATATACCGAGTTAGATCGTAACTTAACAAAACATTACATTATTTCGTAGAAAAATTTATATTTTTATATGCACGGTAAAAAAGTAACACGAAATTAACACGTGTCGCGCTATTCGGTTAAGGGTCGTCTTAACCAAAGTTTCATTTACCTTGAAGATCGCATATCCCGCCGCTGTCTCGAACAGCACTAACATGATTGCTGCGTTGCCTTTGCGACTCGATGCACGCGATAATTGTTTTCATACAATTGTCACACTAATATTAATATTCAGAGCGAGCACGTGTATAACCTAAAAAAAACGAAAACCGTCGCAAATCCACCATCAACAAAAGGAATTACGAACCAAAGTGATTACACTACGCGTGGCTACGCGCCGCTATTCCGCGCATTCAATTCCATGATTCATCGCACTCATAGAGTCGCCTACATTGACTTGGATATCGCCGCATCTGCTGCTCTCTACGTTTCCGAATTTATATAACGCGTGTCCGGAGGAATCTCTAGATTAGTCCGGATCTACAATAAATGTAGTAAGAAATTGATCAATCATAATCAAATTATAAAAGAATAGTTAATTGTAATTGGTCAATTTTTTACGGCTTAAAGCTACACCTATTGTAGATCCAAGGATGGGCAAAATCGTCGATGTTTGAGAAAATGTTAGGGACTCTAGAAATTCTCTATTTGATAGCTAATCGATTTTCAGAACTCGCGCTGGTGGTAACCTAGATAAAATAGTAGTTGAAGCAGAAACTGTGGACTACAAGCGCAAGTTTTGATTGGCTGTTGCTTTTCTGCTTTTCTGTCAAGATATGAATTCTCCCTAACTTATTGCACCATCTCAGCAGTACAGCTAAAAAGAATAGACTAATTCCTGTAATGGCAGGTTGTGTTTAGATAGGATCGGTGGGATTTAAAGTCAATCGCTCGAGATGGATTATGTAATCTTAATTTTATAAATTTTACTAACATACTGCATTCAGTGTATATGATAATAAATACATATTGATAAAAGTTTTATAAGACATTTCATTGAAATATTTCTTCTGTTTGTGAAACTGACAGCTATGAAAATTAACCTCTATTGGGAAAAAACTTGTAAAAAGCAGGATTTTAGATATATTTATTAATATAATATATTGATATACATTGTATAATCAGCACATTCATCGATAAGCTTTATTGTTCATATACAATGGAAATAATTATGTAGTTATTTTTAATATATTTTTATAATACACAGGATATGATTAAAAACAGTCTCATTATTTATTGTTCTTCAGTTTGGAACTTGGAGAAGTAGTCGTCCATTGGGTTATGGATACATTTATAGACACGATCATGGTGCTGAGCATACGCTCAAAATACCAGATCCTAATATCTACAAAGTGGAAGATGTCCCGGAATTAAAACGTGTTCAAGAAGAATTAGCTAAGAGAGGGCTAAAAGATCCTTGGCTGAGAAATTATGTGTGGCGCTATCAATCGACTACGAAATTTCTACCACGTGGAATACCACTTGTGTTCAGAGGCTGGAAAATCGGCGTACCAGCGTTTCTAATCACCATAGCTGTTGAACAATATTTTGGGATTGATTACTCCGGCCATTCTCATCACGAAGATAGTCACGGAGATAGCCATCACTAATATCCAGCTTAGTATTGATATTGTGTGCTAAAATAAAGCAGTAGTAATGTTACTGTAGAGCAACTGTATGGCAACTGTGTGAATATATTAAAATACAAAAATATTCTCTGTTTCTTTTATAAGAGACTCTTGTTTCTGTATATTTTTTTATCACTGTTTATTTGCTGAAGCCTTGTTTCAATTTTCCATATACAATGTATGTAAAAATATAATTAACTGATAATCAACAGAATCTGATAAAAATCAGATATCAAATTAATTCTGAGCATGAAGAGAGATGAATTATATTGCAATGAAATTCACGTGCTTGAACGAGAAGAATAACTTTAGGAATTTAGAATAATCACTATTAGCAGATGTTAATTACGCGATATTGATTCAATTAATTTGTTTTAATTACTCATGCAATCTTTCTTCACATTAAAAATCTCTTATCCAATAATGACTTGTTGCAGAGATTTCTCTTAACGTTGCATCTGATGATTATTAAAAATAATTGCGATAAAAGGACTGTTGTTACACAGGCGAGTACGTAAGTGTCATATAACGCCAGGAGGAACGCGAATACGGTGATTTCAAACGTCGCCAATAGCCATTCGTTTCCGTAAAGTATCACTCTGCTGAAGGAGTAATTGTTATCTGCAATAAAATATTTAGAAATGACGATGCTTACGTTCATTTCGTCAGGACTGTACGTGTGTAAATTTCATTACCGATATAGAAGACGGATTTATCTTTGGCATCTTGGCAAAGAACATCACACAGTTTTTCCAGTACATGCTGCTCCTTAATTATATAATCCTCGCTCTCGGAGCAATGATCCAGGAACTGTATCAGGAACGTTCTCACTTTCGATCTCATCTCGTTCAATTGTTTCCAGCTTTTGGAGGGTGAGTCGTTGCCTCTGAAAGGCCCTGCGTTTTCCTAAGATATACATTATAATGCACTACAAGATTGTATTTTTCACAATGACTACGTAATAAAAGATAGGCAAGATCAACGAGTTGTTATCATATGACATGAAATTTCGGCTTTAAACCCATCTTTTCTCATGATTTCTGTCATGTTAATTTTACGGTTATCCATTGATTGCTCAAGTGCAAAAGGAAATGTTCCGTAATATCGCAATATCCCTAGTTATCAATACACAGTACTTCGGCGAGCGAACATACATTGTTCCGCTGCTTCAGGAGCTCGTCGTACAAAGACTTGAACGAATGAGTCAGCGATATTATAAAAGTCTGCTCGGTCGTTCCAGGTACTAGGCCTCTGTGTGCGCACAAGTTATCCTCTTCCTTCTTTAGATCGCTTATCAGCGTGGGGAGATCGGTGTCCGCGTATCCATGCACGGATCTGATCGATGAAGAATCGACGATCAACAAAGATAATCCACCTAGCGGTCTCTCACGCTGTATAAATGTTTCAATTACCTGCCGTGGATGTAGAAGCCGTAGTAATTGTGCGGCAATACGAGCACGCTGATGTTCGCGACCGAGCACAGGTCCACGAACTTCTGCAACCTGTTCCGTATATATCTCTCGTAGAACGTGACGCGGATCAGCCATTGCGCGAAGTACACGGATACGTAGACGAATGTGCAAATCGCGTACCGCAGCGTAAAATTGCTCCTCGCTTCTTCGGACGAGCTGTCCGGCACCGCCAGCATCCACGATTCCAAATTGAATATCTACGAATATCAACGATACGAGCATTTCAATCAGTTGAACAACGCAGAGACATGCGCTATTTAGCTAATTATTATTACACGGAAAAAATTTCGGTTCGCCTAATTAAATTTAGGCGTCAGACTAAAATTCTCTATCAGTCGGAGAGAGAAAACCTGTTTCCCTTTTATTCTTCTTTAATATTTTATCTTCTTTGACGTGCAATCCGATAAACTGTTAGAATTGACAGCTGCAAAGCCGCGACACGACAGTCAATCAGAGGCTTCAACGCTTCGATACGTCTTTTTCAGAAAGAGATTATTACTCAAGATGCTCGAGTCATTCACTGAAGATCGTAATGGTTCTGCAAGTGAGGTCATTTTCTCTCGCACCTGCAAGATGCACAGAGTGTAAACCGACTGCAAGACCACGTTTACTCTCCGTTTGGTCTGCAGTTTGCACCATTCGTTCGCGACGAAGTAGGTCCTCCAGATGCTGATCGGCGCGTTGTGAACGGCCGCCTCCTGCATAGGCGACAGCGAGCAAATGGAAGAGAAGTCCGGCGCGTATTTGTCAGTCGGGGAAAACTTGGAGATCTCGCTCGGGCTTTCGTTCGTCTTACGCGATCTTCTCCTTCTCTTGGACGCGATCATGTCCGACGATATTCTCGACGTGGGTCTGCCGTCGCTCCGCGGAAATCTGTCGGCGTACAATTTCCGCAGGGAGGTATGCGGCGAGTCGTACTTCACCTGGCTGTGTATCGTTCTCGGTTGTTCCCAATCAATGAAGAATACACTTAAGCCCCAGTGCTGACAGACGAAGCCAATCATTTCTACGATCTGGATCAAGAGAATCGAATCAATTGTGATGACTCACTGAAAGTATATCAACACTTTGCGGTCCGCGCTGACTCAAGTAAACTGAGCCTATAAAATTTATACTTAGCTGCACTTTTTCGACTGTAGATAAATACCGATATAAAAGGATTTAAAATTAAAGCACATTTTGACCCGGCTTTTTTGATTGCTTTTTGATTAAAGTTTTCTCTTACCAATGAACATAATAAATTTTTGTGTTTGCTTTTTTTACCTATTTCATAATCAGAGTAATAGCTTTTTTTCCCGAGATAAGTCAAACGTAAGCATATCGATACTTGGAGACTACAGATACTTTTTGGAATTGAGAAAAAAAAAATTGTAGACTTTAGTTATTACTATTACAACTGAAATAAGTATAAGGAATTTTGTATACTTTTTGAAGATGCAATAACATAATCGTCTAATAAAAAATTTCCACATCAGATATGGTTTTATTAATTAATATTTTTGCGCTGTATCATTAAATTGTTGTTTGATCGCAAAGTGTTAAAAGTTCGCATATCGCAAGAATGATCTGTAATCTTCATTAAGAATGGTCAGTAAGTTTTTATTTAATTTCCAATCAAACGTCGCGTTATTCTTACTTTGAAACTGAACGCCACACTTATGTACGTCTGGATTTTCTTCTCACTGGCATCGTCGGGAAGTAAAATGTACGGTACAGTTTGGCCTTTGTAAAAGACGAACAGGTATACGCACGCGCCGATGCATACGAAAGTAATGACATTTCCAACGACACCCATGGCGTAGATCAGGAACCACAATAACACAGTTATGCTAAGATTGCCGTTGTGATTGCGCTTGTAATAACTCCATGCCCTGACCGTGGAAAATATCAGCGCTATCCCCGTCAACACTCCGATAGTTATCTGAAATTTGGCATTCAAAAGATGAATTATCGTCCTGCGGGATATGTCGCTTCGAATTTTTAATGACTTTGCTTCCTGCTGTTTACCTGCACGTTGTAATCCACGTCACTGCCCTTTAACATGAATGTAACTTTATATTCTACTACAACGTCCGGGTTGTCGAGAAGTTCCTGATACGTCAACTCGTCGTACTTGGCGATTAAAAAGGGGGCAAAAATTTTTCCGTGCTCTTCTCCATCCTGAACGTCCACTCTGCAAGAATCATCTTATGTCGTTGAGCGTTTGTAAAAGAAAATAGGGATGTTGCGATATAATACTGCTGATATAATACTGATATCGATATTTTTCTTTCGATACCGGGATTTTGTATCGATACTCTCTTTCGATATGCTTAACTATATCAGAGATGTTCCGATTCGTATAGGTACTTGAAACATCGATATATGACCATTTAATATTCGATATTTTGTACAAATACTTTGAGTTTAATATCGTAGTGTATCGGTTAAAGACCTAGATATCAATTGATCCGATACAAACCAAAGTACAATTTGATTCTATTTTGTTATTAGATAATACTCGTAAATATATTCTTATTTCAAAACGGTCTCAAATATTAGTCTCAGATATCAGATCAATACTAACACGTTCCGTGCCATGTGGGGCATATACGACCCCCGCTGCACTTTCCGTTCAGGCCATTTGCAATTCTCATTGAAAAACAAAGAATTCTTAAAAAATTTATTGTAGAGTCAAATATAGACAACTTCACATCACGTATGCAGCGTTTACCGTAGCGTGGGGCGTATACGCCCCACGCGGCGTGAGAGTCATTTTTTTTTACTGTCTTATGTCAACTCTGTCAAACAGGAAACATTGTATCGTTCAGTCATTTATTCGCGCGCCGTTGAAGCAACAATTACTGTTTGATTTAAAGCTGGTGTTTATTTAGTTCAGTTTATTTGGTTCTAAAGTGAAATCAAACGGAGGATACATAACATACAGTTAGTATATACTTATTTCTGTGCTACAGCCAAATAATTATATAATTTTTACCCCTTATGATCAGAAATGGCATTGCACTATGAACAACTTTCGAGCGAGGACTCTGATATGCCACTGTCAGAAGTTATAGCAAAACGCCGTAGGATCACACGCATAAGTTCTGATGATTTTTCAACAGAAAGCTCAAGCGACATAATACCTTTTCATCGTCTTCCTGTGCGTCGCAATATAATTTTATCAAGCAGTGAAGACGAAGAAGATCAATCGAATCTTATCAACAATTATACAAATCCTTCTTCCACGGACTGGTCTAATCCTACTGGAAACCAACCACAGCTTACGCCTTTCGTAGATGGACATGGTTTTAAAATATTAAATCGAAATTATGAAAATGTAGAAGACATTTATTCCTTGCTACTAGATGATAGAATCCTCGAAATTATAGTGGAAGAAACCAATCGATATGCGGAAAAGATGTTGCTTGAGAAAACGCGGTTAGACAAATGGAAACCGATAGATAAAACCGAAATGAAACGATTTTTTGGGCTCATCATGTGGATGGGCATAGTAAAACTTCCCGAAGTTCATTTATATTGGTCCACAGATGCAGCTTATGCTCAAAGTCTTCCTGCGTCGGTGCTATCAAGGAATCGTTTCGAGCTTTTGTTGCGAATGTTACATTTCTGTGATAACGAAAATAAAAATCATGACGACCGTTTGTACAAAATTAGAATCATAATTGACATGCTAAATGAAAATTTTCAAAAGTATTATAATCCAGGCGAAATTGTTTGTGTAGATGAATCGTTGATTCCCCGAAAGGGAATCAACGATTCATCTACACAAACAATTTTTTTGTTGTACATAAAGCAAAAACGACACAAATACGGCATAAAAATATTTAAATTATGTTCGGCACCGGGATACACAGTCAATTTTCAAATTTATTGCGGGAAAAAATCAGACACGGAGAAAACGACGCCTACAAATGTAGTATTGTCATTGTGTCAAAACATATTTGGTAAGGGTCATACGCTGTGTACCGATAATTGGTACACAAGTGTCGACTTGGCTAGGCAACTAATTGCAAGAAACACTCATCTCATTGGAACAATGCGGTCGAACCGCCGCGGCATTCCAAAAGATTTGGTCGCAAAAAAATTAAAGCGTAACGAATATATTGCAAAAGAAAGTTTGGATGGATTAACGGTACTAAAATGGAAAGACAAACGTGACGTCCTTTTATTATCTACGAAGCACTCGGACGAAACTATCGTTGTACGGAAAAGGGGGTATGACTGTGTCAAACAAAAAATTGTGATAGATTACAATGAAGGAAAATCATATGTAGATGTTTCCGATCAAATATCGTCATACTGCAATCCTTTACGCAAATCCGTAAAATGGTATAAAAAAATTGTGTTTGAACTTTTTTTGAATACTTCTGTTGTAAATGCGTGGATAATACATAATAGTCTCACAAACAATAAAATATCAAGCATTGAATTTAGAAAACAATTAGCTATGCAAATGATGTCCCGCGAAGATAATAATTCTTTGCCCATAGTATCAAAAAGAGTTCGCCACGAAATTAAAAAAAAGGAAGGCAAATTTGATTTAGTTAGAAAACGCTGCAAAATTTGCTATGAAAATAATGTTAAAAAGTTTGGCTCGAAATCGGCAAAAAATTGTACTATAAAAGTTGTAATATTTTGTGATGGTTGTCCAGACAAGTCTCATTTATGTCTGCCATGTTTCAACGAGGTTCACCGCAATATGCCTTTATAATTGTAAATAGATTTGTAAGTAATAATATTAAACATGTTTGAAGTAAAATGCTTTATTTTTTATGCATTTGGCCTTATTAAAATGGTTAAGTAGGAGCTTGCAACCCGTCTGGTAAACGCTCGACCTTATGTTTGTTAAAATAATTCTTTAAAAATTAAATTTATTGCTTTCTTGACTAATGCATATTAAAATTTATATCTTTTTCCTGCTAATTATAGCTTTGTAGTATTGAAAAAATGTAAGGCATACGTCTTAAACGACTTTTTTTAATCTTTAATGTGTGGGTCGTATACGCCCCACGCGGCCTGAATGGAAAATCTTCAAAAATTGCCGTGGCACGGAACGTGCTAATATTTTTCTTATGATATTGATACTCTTGATTAGACATCCGTTTCAATATTAGTTCAATATTAATTCAATACTTTCATGGTATCACAATATCCCTAGAAGAAAATGCTTGTAATGACTACAAGGCAGCAACTTACAAGACAGTCAGAGATTTCATGTACCGCAGCACAGAAATTTGCGGCGCTTTCGCAAATCTACTGTTCAGGAACGTGGGTAACGCTTTGAAACCGCTCACATTGTCGACTAGAAAAAATTTCCGCACTAATTGCTGCTGCGGGATTTCGTCGACGTCCTGTGGAACGCGTGAAACGATTAAATATTCTGAAAATTAATATCGTTAATTATTTATAAAATGTCCCGTAACTTCACCTCTCCCGCCGGTTTGACGGTCACAGGCAACGCGTGTGTGAAGGTTCTATTGCCATTCTTAAATATTAAGTAAGGAGATAATAGCTCCACTTGTGCATTTAACAATTCGATAGCGGTGGTTTTGCATCTTTTGTAATAATTCACACCGAACCTCACGTTCCTCAGGAGCTGGCAAGGAAGATTCGGCCTACCGATGGACAGGAACTCGCCGTTCAACGAGAATTTGGCTATTGCGAAGTCGAGGGTGCTGCTCTGGAAAGGTATAATAGATTTAAGATAGATGTCATCATCAGATACGCGCGTTTCCCGTATCGTATAGTACTGTCAGTTCTTAGAAAACACCAACCAACAGTAATATCAATGTTATGATTTACCACTCAACAATATAATTATTATATAATACACGCATTATATTGCACTTACATTGTTGAGTAAGAAATCATAACATTGATGTGACGTTACCGATGGTTGATGTTTACTGGGTTTCGACTACTCGGGTATTTAACCGGGTTTTGTACTCGAGTCTTTTGAGAGTTTTACTCAGGTAACTTAGTATAGTTTCAGGTTAATTTCAGATGTTACAAATGATTGATTTCCCTAACAATAACAAACAATAAACGAATGTATTGCAGGACCGGAACCATTTATTCGTTGCTATTTTCTAGTTGCCCGAATAATATCCATAAATATAAGTATCCGAGTACCTGGAAAAGATCCGGAAAAGACCCGGATACTCAAGCCCATGGGTATTATAAAAGTTGCCACCTCTTTGGTTTCCAAGAGAAAGAGAAAATCTCCGAATCTCCGGTCAAAAGACACAATCTCCTGGCCAATCCTAGCAAAACATATCGGATGTCCCAACAAAAGCGCAAGATTTAATTTTTTTAATAAAACGCACCATTTATTCGAAAAATGCTGATCTTTTTATTTTAATATGCACACATTGCGATCAAATATGGAGCACAATATCCGACAAATCCCCCGACTTTGCTGGCACACTCTTGTTCTTTCGACGAAATTTCCGATTACATTTTCGCATTAATTGCGGCTCAATTTTGCCAGTGACGCATCGAATCTCCTCCTTGGAATTGTTGTTGGCGTGAACACGAGACTTCACAGAACTTTAAAGAAAGAAGTCGCACGGTGCCATATCGTCCGACATAATCGATAAATTATGAATTCGGAACAAAGTACATTGTAAAATACCATACTTGAAAAATACCATATTAAACATATTTACATATTTTTATATATTTTTAAAGTAGAAAAGCAACTGTAAGATTTTATCTCGTTAAAAGATGAATGAGTGGATACATTTTGCTGGTGTAATATGCGAAGTGCCTTTTTTTCAGAGATCCCACTATACCGATTTCCGGGCGAGCCGACACAAACTGAGATGACAACCTTGAGTATTTACCCAGGTGTATCGAAATAACCGGATTACACTGACATTATTAGTACCGTACATTATCTCCTCTCCTAAGGCTATATTTTTCGGATATCTTCGTGCTGTTTACTATCGACGCAGCGTCCTGCTTGCTGTAAAACAACCACACGGGCGCCAAGGGTGTGTGCACAAAGAGCATGCAAGCTATGCCATCCGTGTAAAGAGTCAGAGCGCATATATTCGACAAGTGTTCGCACGCCATCCTATCTTTCCTCTGAAAGCAATCGCAAATTCGTAACATCTTCAAAGAAACGTCGGTCTGAGATGGTCTCAGTGTACCTCTCTCTCTGTATGTGTGTACCTTGCAGAGATGCACCGCTACTTGCAATTCACTTCGCAGGTAATAACTGTCGACGCTCTCGCTTTGAAATTTCATCAGATACGTGTTTCTGACATCGGGCCAGTCGGCGACATCGTCCTTGTGCAGACAATAATTCCGTAGTCTTACGTGCGTCGCGCTCGGGCACACGCAATTCGCGCGGCCGCTGTACTCGCGGCCGTCGCACGGCAGGCATTCCGAGCAGTCGGTGGACGGATACGTGCCTTGGACGCACGTTACACAAAGCACGGTATCCAATAGTATGCCGTTTACATTTCTATCCACTGAAAAGAGTATTCAAAGCATCTATTGAAAATGCAGTCACTTCTGATAAATTATAAACAAAAACGAGCCAAAAATTAATAAGAAATTATTATTATGCATTTTCTTGCCTTTCTTATAATGTTTCTCTTATATTATTATTTTATCTTTAGGGTAACTTTTACCAAACTACGATTAAACTAAATAATAAACAATAATACAAATTACTAATTCTTAGTTCTGTAAATTGTTCAACAATGATTGATAAATTAACAATTCCTATCTGTTTGAAAAAGGTTTCTTGAATGTAGCACTTTTTTCTTTCTTTCAATACAGGAAACTTTGATAAATCGCGTTAAAGAACTGGTTAAAAAAAGTGACCGATATTACGTCTTATTTCGTTCGAGGAGCACTTGCACGTTGTATTCGAGCGCAAGATGCACTCCTTCCCATCGGCAGTCGCGATCATGTCAGGGTCGCAGGCGGCGCAGAGCGGGTTGCCGTTCTCGAAGCCAATCATCCTGCTGAACACGTTGCACACACATCGTAGACCTGCGTGAAAAAAATTAAACGAATATATCGTGAAAAAACGAAACGAAATGAGGGACTTACGACTCGCTGCCGGCTCGAGATTCCTGCTGGCGTTGCATCGCGAGCAAGACAAGGAGAACGTATCGAAGTACTCGTCGTATTTGCAGGAACTCGGTATCCAGTATTCGAGCACGTCATTGTTGACGTTAATCGCACCCACGAACGATGGGAGAACAATTGCAATCAGTGTCGCGTAACGATTGCAACTGTCACGGATGCAGTTCATATTTGTTTACACGTCGCCATAGCGATGGTCGCCATGGTGACGACGCCGGCTAACTTTACTGTTGAGGTATTGCCAACGATTGAAACGGATTTGTTTTCCTTTATCGCAATACGTTGGCCACTATTGACATACAAGTCACGTGACAAATGCGCATTTCAGTTTGAATTAGGGCTTTTCCCTTCCGAAGGCTTTGACACTCGAATTTCGAATCTTCAAAAATTCGAAGCTTCGGGGTTCATTATTCACATTTCGAATGTATCGAAGCTTCGGAACATTAGAATTATAAAATTTTTTAATTACATAATGTCTGGTACATCCTTTCATTTGCAAAAGTTCATTAACAACATTTTTCAGTATTCCCTGAGTAAAATATATGTAGACATTAATTTATAGCATTCGCGAGATTGCACTCTTCGAAGCTTCGCCTTACGAAGATTCGAAACTTCGAATCTTCTCGAAGCTTTGAAGCTGCAAAATTATTAAAGATTGACAGTCCTAGTAGTTTGAGTGAGTACAGATATATATAATTTTAACTTCACTTTTAATTAAATTGGTTGTTGTTTTGGTAACTTCTAATTTAATTACTTTTACAGGCGATTAATTTCTGACTTTTTAAAAATAGAAATTAACTAAACCCAATCCTGCGAATGACAATACAAACTATAATAATAACGATATGTGTCAGATCGTTTCTTTATATTTGCTATTAATACACATACATACACACACGTATGTGTATAAACGATATGTACGCATGTACAAATTAACAAATAAACTAATCGCTGTTTAACGATGTGCAACTAGTTGCACAGAATAAAAAGATCATTCTCGCGTCTCGCCGGATCGAAGCAGGAAGCATAGAGAAAAGTGACTCCGCATATCAGGATCGTAGTTCCCTCGGCTCCACGTAGTTCCACGGTTCCGTCGGAAGCACCAGGCGGTGACTAGGTAAGTAAGCAAGTAAGTAGGGATAGCGCGGCTGCGAAGAGTGGGAAACAATTCGGACGCCGCAACCGCCGTGGGAGTCGCACCGCTACTTCCGACGAAACAGCACCCTAAGGGATAAACACCTCGTTACTATCGTCTTAGGTAAGAGCGCCTTGATACTCGCGCGCGCTCGTGGTAAAATTCTCTCATTGTTCCCGCGGAAAGAATCACACAGATGGTTCGATTCGCGCCGCCCGTATATCGCGCACGCATATTGCGATTCATAATATCGGATATCGATTTCGATCGTGAAGCAACGGACATATCGTTCACGTGGTGCGCAAGATTAACGGCGTTCGTCGTATACCAATCGCGCATCGATTGGCATCGTCTCGACGGGATGCCGAGAGACGTCGTCCATCATAATCGCGATTGCGAGATCATAATTGCAAAACAGAGCGTTCCCTAATTAAAGAGTGTGTATATATTCGATCCCGTAGATACAAATGCCGCTCATAACTATGCATCCCGAGAAGTATTCCTGTGCGAAGAACAGAAATGTTCGGACGACGTCGTCAAAAAGATGTCTGAAGCGTTTAGAATGTTTTTCGAACATTTCTGTACACTGGGCTATAATCTCGTCGATTTTCGATCGTCACTTTGCAGACGATATTAACGTTCACGATTCGCGCTTCGGACGTTGAAACTAATTCTATTCTCTATTCGATCGCCCGCGTGTTTTTTCCGAGAACTCGTTTATTCTTGTCCGAAAAATCGCAGCAATCGTTACGAGGTGGTGATTAACACGCTAATTTCGGGTGGGGCTGCAAATCGTTTTAAAGAAAAAAAATTTATTTAATTTTTCGGCGACGGGTAGTCGCTAAAATTGCAGGCAAAGTCGATCGAATGACAAATGAGTATCGTATTTAACGCCGATCATTGTGTCACGGTTGATTATTATTATTATTATTCGTTATATGTTAACGGCCGTGGTTACGTGTTAATGGCCGCGATACTGGGATTATGCGCGCAACTGGGATTATTTTGTGACCGATATCGCCGTTTTTAAAATGCTGTCTACCGGCTAAATTTGGCGGGCTTACGCAACAAGAAAGAGAGAAGGAACGAACGAACGAACGAACGAACGAACGCGTTGTATCCGACTACCATGGGCATCCCGTTTCGATCGGCCGAAAACTTTGGCATAATCGCGAAAAATCCCTTGCGCGTAGGAGTTTCCCGAAACGTAAATTCCCGTTTTCGACGTTTTCGTTTCCGAAAAAAAAAACGGGAATTGTCGCGCGAGAACGAACGTTCAGATTCGCGGGGCGGATGTTGGGGGATCATCCGCGCGCCCATTAAATTCTCATCGCCGCTTGCGATGAGCCGCTTGCGAAAACGGCACTCGAAAACACGCGGCCGGACATTCGATACTCGCCCAGCAAATTGACACGAGAACGCGCGCGGCGCAATTGCGCGATTTATTTAAGTCTCGCACGCGCGGGCGCGCGTATTCGGGGCTGTACATGAAATAATGTACACGGGGGAAACGCGCGGGCGAGACGCGACGAGACGTGAGTCGCGCTGAGTCAGAATCTAAAACAGTTGAAGTTATATCGCGGCGGGGTATAACTCATTACCGCATTTGTGTGCGGCCATGTCTGTCGCTGATCTGTTTCTCTCAGCGTCAGCCAGTCACTCAATCTGCAAGTCACCTTTGTCATTTTTTCTTGACAAGCCACTGAGAAATTCACTAACGTCCAAATTTTAGTCACTTTTTTGTCTGAGCTACCGTTAAATTGGCGACCCGGGCAAAAAAGATTACATATAATGATTACATATAAAAGATTACATATAAAGATTACATATAAAAAAGATTACATATAAATTACTTTATTTACTTTCAAAATTTGACGAAAAATGTCATTTTTAGTTATTATTTTGATGTCCGAGAGGTCATTTTTTGTCAGCTTTTCGAGCAAGAAACATTATTTTACTTTTATTTCGGTAACGGATGGCAGCGCTGGTTTCATTGGCTCCACCGACGCTCTCTCTCTACACGGTGTCGCGTGAAGCACGTACAAATTACGGCCCCGAGATAATTCATCGCCCATGCGTGTACGTCTGTCCCACTAATGACGCGGGCCAAATTTTTACCAAGGATCCCCCGCTTTTCACAGCAACGTAATTCTGTTATTGTCGCTGCTTGCTATCACGCACGGTCTTCTTGCTTGTCGAGCGGCCGACTCAGGTAGAGCAGAAAATCACAGTGACGTTAAGATGACGAGAAGATGCATCAGTAGAAAGAAATGTTGCATTCAAGTAAATACACAGAAAAAATTAGTCTTAAATCAAGAATAGATATTTTTATGTATAACCAAGAGTATTATAATCTATATAATCTTCTTAGAAGATTTTTAGTCTTGATTCGAGTGAATTTGTATTGATACAAATATTACATGCACTTAATTCAAGATTAAAAATCTTCTAAGAATATCATAATATATTTGCTTACATATGAGAATATCTATCATTAATTTAAAACTATTTTTGTCTGTGTATTTGCTGGGGAATATTGGAATAATTATTTTACTTGGATTAAGGTTCCGGTTGCAACATGTTTTTTGAATAAATTTCGAAATATGTCCAATAGGAAAATTTGTTCTCCAGTAATTCTCGGGAGATACATTTTTCTATTGTATGATGCGTTGCGGAATTCATCGAAAAGAAAGTGTTGCAACCATTTTTGATTGACCATTACCACTGCCATCTTGTTTTACGATGTCAGAAATGAAAAAGTTCATACCTGGAATTCTCTCTCTCTCTCTCTCTCTCTCTCTTACGGTGTGATTCAAATAAAATGATATAACCAGGAAATGACATTTATGATCGATTCAGCACACTTGTAAAATACTCCGATCATTTTCCTTTTACTCGAGCAATTAATATTCAGCTACAAAACTAATGTGATAAAATCATGAAAAGAGATAGTTTAAAAAAGAAAATTACATATTATGTTAATTTTACAATTATTTATTGATCGTTAAGGTGGAAGGAAAGTATTCGGAATATTTTACAAGTATGCTGATAAATGTCATATTATGGATATATCTTTTCATTTGAACATATATTGCAAGAATTCTCGATATGTCCCAGATAGAACAGAAAATAATGATGACGTGAAAATGACGCCAAAATAATGAAAAATGATCGAAAAATTAGTTTTGTAATTATTTTCTCGTTATTTTAATTTCATTCAGGTGTCATTTTGACGTGATCATTTTTGGCTGTCATTTTTTTTGTTTTGAGGCGTTTTCTGATTTTTGACGTCACAAACAAAACTGCAGCGAGGGATCAGGAGCCTCAAGTAAATATTACTTGCATATAAGATATAGATCATTGGAAGAAAAAAGTGCTATATTCAAATAATATTTATTTTTAATCCAAGTAAAATAATTACTCCAATATATTCCTTAATAATTACTCCAATATACTCTTTATTTACTGAAACGTAACAATTTTTTTCTTTCAATATGACTATAAAAATTCACTTTTCAATCATTTTTTCATCATTTTGACGTCATCGTCGCTTTCTGTTCTACCTGAGGATGCGTTTCTGCTCAAATTCCTAAGTGTTTTCAGCTCCATTCGCCGTTATGCCGGTATCTATGAATTAAAAAGTATCGATTATTATTCAACGTTCGAGCATAGCTTGTGATTTTAAAGTAGAGCCTCAATATTCCGATTAAAAATCGGATGTATCACTCGCGCGTCGGCGATCCGTGATTTTCCTGAATGGTAAGACAACTTGGAACGCGCCAGCCGCGGCGTCTCACGCATAGTATAGTAAAATACCTTTGGGTGCATGAACGAACGATTGAGTAACGAGTCGATTCGCTCTAAATCATAGCTACTTCCCAAGCGGACGCGCGCCAGACGCGTACACGCCAATTAAGTCGAGCAGATGATCTTATCCCGATCGAAAGAAGCCAAGCTATAGTTCGTTGCCTTTTTGGCATGAACGTAATTCTTGGCGTAAAATCTGCGCTTCTCCTAGGAGGAGGATGACCACCACCGTCGCTGCCTCTCTTTCTCTCTCTCTTCCGATGTCACATCGCCGCTGTTTATTCTAAGCTTGCGAATTTATTTCCAACGTGTTGCGCGGCGCGCCGTAACGCTTATTTTGAACTGACGTTATTATCAGAGTATTTGTGTCGATGATCCGGCGGTTTCTTTCGCTACGAGAGAGAGAGAGAGAGAGAGAGATAAAACCAATGAAAAATCGTACCTGTCCGCTTAAAAAATACAAATAAATAATTCGCAAGTACGTGCAAAACGACCATCTGTCAAAACAGTTCTACTGCCGTGTGACGTATTGTTCGTCGCTCTTTCTCTCTCTCTCTCTCTCTCTCTTTCTATCCTTCTCTATCTCTTTCTTTTGCGATGAATGTTGAGAACTTTTGGCTCAATTCGCCGGAATTCGCGTCCGAGTTCGAGCTTTATCCGAAATCGCCCCTTCGAGTCTCGAATATCAAATGAAATTTGATTAATCGTCGCTAAATTTGCCTTTCTTTGTCTCGCCGACTTCTCTTAGCTACGGGGGCAGGGATTTTGTCGCGTATCTATATATGCACAACGCTACGCGCTGTTAATTTGTTTATTACAAATATAACCCGTGGAATTCGGCACTTAGTAGCCTCGAGAATTTAATAGCCGACAAAAATAAATCGCGGCCGCCCGTATATTGCGCTCATTAGCCTACTTGCGCGATAGCGCGAACGTGCAGTAGCTGTCGCCGCACGGTCGCAGCCTCTCGACTTAAAAATAATTTCGAAACAAAAGATATAAGCGGGTGGGAGACATAAAACTTGCGATCTGAGGCTGAGGAGTTGCGAACACGTTATCGAAAGCGACGAGGAGGAGCGAATTAAATCATCATGCGATCAGTATCGATGTGCGCTCGCGAGCACGTCGGCGAGTAATGCGCGCGACCGACAGTAATTCGATTTCTTGGATAATTATCTAAAGGGTAATTATATAAAGAATTATTTTTTCGATCGAATCCGCGTTGACGCTTATCGCGTTCACGCTTGTCGCTCGTCAAAGATACAAGCCGGGATGAATGAAAATGGGCAATTTTCCCACCGTTATTCGCAAATACAAGATGAGGCAAGAATTATTTTAGTAGAAATTGAACCTTGTGGATCTAGCTAGAAATAATAAATGTGTCTAACGTCATTATTACTTAATAATGTAATAATCAACCAGTAACGAACTAGTTAAAAAATTTATTCCAGCCTGTTAAAGATAGCTACTAATTTTTGCCTCAGACTGACTAAATATATTTCTACTTCAGTATTACTACGCGGAAAAAATAATTCCGTTGATGTAGATGAATTTCCCGTTGCTTAGGAACCAGAAAACTCGATTGTAGGAACAAAAAGATTCCCGTAGGAAGTATCTCTTCAATCAATTGCACTCAGTTGTCCCGAATGAGTTTTAATGCAGCTCAATATTCATACGAATATTCTGTCGCAATAACAGATATATAATTCTTCGTCGCCATGTGTTCGTTCGTTTCTCATCACCGAGTTCTCATCTAGTCTTTTTTATTCAGTTATGGGAACCGAGTTTTTTCCGTGCTTAAATATCTTCGAAATGTGAGAGTAGAAGAAAAATTTATCTTTTTTAACAGAATGTAATTTATCTGCATTTAATTTTAATTTAACAGAAACTTTTGCATTGATACCAATAGTCACTGCTTCGATTACCTATAAATATAAACTTTTTTTTCTTTATTTAATCGTTAACAAAATTTTCTTTTAATAAGATGAAAGGCGAAAATAGCAAAGGTAATAATAGATATTGTCTTACCCTGTATTGAAAGAAAAAAGTGTTACTTTTCAAATAATATTTACTTGATCCAAGTAAAATGGTTGCTCCAATAAGTATTTACCAGAAGCTATTAAAATATACTTGAATTGTGATAAAAATATTATTTGATACAAGAGGCTAAAACAGATAATTACGTTAATTTGATTCTAGCCCTTTTTTTCTGTGTGCATATTTCTCAGACAAATTCTGCGATATTTCTTATTGTGAGCACTATAATTGTCCTATTCTTATCAATTCTCGCTTAATTAAACAGCGGCAGATCTTTGTATTACTGCTCACGTCGCACGCCCCAGCTTCGATCAGCGGCCGAGAGCGCACTAATGAGATCATCATGATCGGGGTAGACCGTATCTCTGATCGTTATCACGTACACAGATACAGAGACCGGCCCTGAAGTAAGGGCGAGTGGGCGCTCAGGGTTTCACGCCTCATATTCAGAGAGGTTGTCCCGGGCTCGCTTGTGCCGTGCCAGTTCAGTTCACGGGCACCAAATTAGACGCGGGCTATTTTCAACCGGCATACAACCGCTCGCTCCAGTTTGCCGACGACGAACCACCGAGAAAGAGAGAGAGAGTGAGAGAGGGCAGATAGAGAGACAGAGAACTCGTCTCGGACTTTTGTTACACGCGGTATAGCTCGCCACGTGGAGGACGAGGTCGAGGGGACCGGATGGTTCAAGCCGCCGCCACGTGTCCCACGAAACGATTTTCCGCGTTATTCGCCGCTGTACGTAGGTGGTGCATAACCGAAGCGTTCGCTCATACGTTGGAATTAGAGCTCGCTCTGTTATGTTAATAATAATGCGTGATATCCGTGTTTGATCAGCATTAGACATGCTCTTGCGTCGCGCACTCGAATCGAGGTCTGGCGCAGTTGATGGCTCTTGAAATATTCGATTTTGCGAAGCAGAAAGAGAGAGAGAGATATTTGCGAGAAGGTGGTACTTTGATAAACAATTATTGATACGTAGAATAAGAAAATTATCATCTTGAATATTTATTTATTTATTTATTATTACATCTTCGAAAAATAAGAATATTTCATCGAATGAAGATGAAAAAGTTTACATTTACAGACAGTTTTTTGAAGTGATGGTTGCTGGTATCGATTCACTCTGTCGGATAAAAAACTTCGTCCATTTTAAGCCAATCGCATGCAACTATCAATCGTATACCGTTTTATAAATAATAATAGAAATATTAAGAATTAAGTAGTAAGTAATTTAGTAATTTAAAATCCTCAAACCCTTGCCGAGAGCAGTTATAGTCTTTGAAAAATGTTGTCCTATTCATTCGGTGGCTCATCATCAGAGCTATCGAAGCTAAGAAATGTCTCACATTCTCAGAAAATGATGAAATCTTAACACTGATCGGTAGATGTTTTAGCTGTTGACATTTACGCAGTTTTATGCAGTTTTAATTCATTCTTTACGCTCTTTATGCTCTATAATTTGACGTACTCGTCTCTGTACACAGAAACTATGAAATATAAAATGAGCGAAGTTCTTTCTCTTCTATTCTTACACTTCGAGGATTTTCAAGGTGACAATAGTTATTGCTTCACCGTACATGTAATAGCTTGAAAAGCAAGAGTTACCGTCACTTTCGCGGCTAGATCAGACCTCCTTCGTCGGTTCTTATCGACTCGACCAGTCTCACTCGACTTGTGTTTTTGCAGCTTAGCAGGGAGACAGTCCAACCGAGATGTCCAGGCCAATCCTTAGCAGGCCGCGTACGTTCATCTACGGCAGCAACTACGACAAGGGCGAGTCCTACTACAAGCCCATGGTCGACCACCTAGACCGAAAGTACAGCGGGCGGCCGTTGTTTCCGGAGCCGAGAAACTCACTAGCTGACGAGATCGCGGCCCGCCGTAGCGACATCGGTAACCTGTTCAGTCGTTTTCCAAAGTGGTTTTGACGGAGTGTTGTAAGACTTCTCCCAGACCCTCCTCGAGAGAGATCGTCGACGAGGCACGCTGAATAGATTCGTTGTGTCAAAAATCAAGTATCTGAGATGAACTCTTATCCCCTCGTTACCCCTCCTCCACATTGTCGTTTCTCCCCCCTTCTGCAAGCTCCTTCCGACTCCCACAACTCGCATGATCGATCGTCGTCCATCTCGCCGCGCGCGTTGTACCGTCGGATTGCCGATTTTATCCTGGAGGACCGGAGGGTCGCAATCCTCCCATTAGTCTCGCTTAGACCGTTGAACCTGTCGAACGAATTTGTAAAGAGAATTATGGATAATTGTTGATAAATTAAAAGAAAAAAAGAAAAGAACAGAGAGAAGAAAGATCACGAGAGAGAGAGAGAGAGAAAGAATTGTACCTTGTAAATTTAATGACAGATATTTCGGATGCTTTGTACAGTCCCTTCACGATACTGTGTTAAGCTCAGCGGAAGCTGTGCGCTGCTGCTGCGGTGATTAGCGAACTAGGTACTCTCGCATCCCAACAGGCATCTCGAGCAGGTAGAAAACGAGAGATAAAGAAAGAGAGTTAGGAGGCGCCATCATCCATTTCTCCAGAGCCGGTTATCTGTTTTTGCGTTTGCACCGATTTCCCGCCCTCTTGTCTGTAGTTAGAGCCTCTTGATTTGTTGTTGATCCCAACCCCTTCTATTCGATGTATCATCTTGCGACTTGTTAAATAAATACTGTTGAATGTTGTTTGGATTTTCTAAGTATTCGTGAAACGCTGCGCGCGGGAGCTCTCGGTATGATGCGTGTGCGCTGCGACGATCTGCGGTGATCCAGAGAGAGAGAGAGAGAGAACGTGGCTGCGAAACCGTGGGCGGCTTCTTTTTCTTCTTCTTCTCGAAGACTTCGGCATTGCGAAAGCTTACCCTCCGATTAAAACACGTCGCTCCAGGTCGCGCGTACAGTCTGCATGCACACGCTCACGCTCCCGCGCCTCGCACCGACACAGACCACGGTGGGGCGATTTATGAAAGGTGTTGCGTGTCTCCTCCCGAGTGAGATATGCCTGCAATAAAGTTGACAGTGATCGTCCGTGTAGCGGCGAATAAATCGACGCGCCTCTCGTCGCGAATAAGCGAGGATTTTGACGGCACGCGCCAGTCACTCGTGATGAAAGAAAGGGAGAAAAAGGAGGAAGCGAGCGCGTTGATAGCTACTTATCTGAGACACTCCGTACATGCCGCCGACGTCCCAGGTGGTGTATAAACGCGGAGAAGATGAACGTCGTGCGCTTGACGTTGCTAGCGACTACCCGCGCGGCTGGCCGCGCCGATGGGATCTTGTAGGTGTGCCAGATTGTTAATACGACGCGCATCCTGAATTTATTTTTGATCGGATGGTGAATCTAAAAATATATATATATACGCGCGCGTAAAAGCGCTATAAAGTTTACTTGGCTCGACGCGTCGAGTCGTTGTAAGCGGAGAAGCGTAAAATGTAATCGCCGCGAACACTTCGGCCTCGCGCGCGAAATTTCGCGAGCAATATCTATAGAACGTCCTGTGCAGGCCTCTGTACGCGAAATTGTAACCAGTACCGGAGTCCTTAATCTCTATCGGGAGATGATCAGAATTATGGGTTTGACTCGCGCCAAACTCAGATTAAATTAATCGATGAACAGTAATGAAAGCATCAATCTCCGGTTCTCTAACTTGTCGTTTAACAATAGTCGAAAAGTTATTGTTCAAGACTTGCTTCAACTTGCGACTTTTTGGACTTTTTAATAATTTTTTTTTAATTAAAGTGAGAAGGGTCTGCAAGAGACCGAACGTTTTTGTCAAGTCTGAATTCGATAAATTGTTACGCTCTAACAACAGCGGTTCGGCTCTCACAGACCAGGTATTGAGGTTTATAATTTTTCTCTGTATCAATAAGATAGAGCGACACTTGACTGATAGCAATCTTACATCATCGATCAGCTTAATCTTAGACTTTGATGAAAGTCACCCTTCTCGCGAGGTTCTCCATCTCCTCCCGCCACTCACTCGCTCATCGACACTCATATCCTTCACCGGAAATCGTTGATGCAACTGCGATCCATCATCGTCACCTCCATCGTTCATCATCATCATCACCGTCTCTCCTTCACCTTCCAACACGCACAAATCAACGCTCTCTTTTCTGATATCGGTTTTTGCAGGCACACGCGACCTCTCCGGTCCCCGCACTGGCCGCGACCCCGACCTCGAATTCGACCCCCGTACCCGCGCCTCCCAACTACCACCCTTCACCGACCCTCTACTACCCCCCGACGACGAGGACACCGTCTACGACAGCCGTGGGCAACGTACGCGCCGCAGGCTCGGCGACGATTTCGCGGAGGATGTATCGGCGACGACGCGCCGCTTCCGAGCCCGGGTGGCGGCAATGGGACTCGAAGACGAGCTCGAGGCCTCGACCGCCGCGAGTCAGGCCAGAAGGAGCGCTGCTGACCTCCTGGAGAGCGCGGTGACCGCGCGCAAAGGCGCCAGGACGGCGATCGAGGAGGCCGAGGGCGGCTTCAAGAGGCGCTCTAGGCTGTTCGACGAGCTGGAGCGTGCCGACGAGGGCAAGTCCGCGCTCATCAGATGGTCCAAGCTGATCAACGAGGACGACGATCTGCTGCCGACCAGCGCCGCCGCCAGTAGGGCTATGCAGACGAAGGCGCGCCTGCATGACATCGAGTCAGAGATGGAAGAGCTAGCTGAGAGGCAAGCCAAGAGGGAACGCAGGGCGGCAGCCCTCAGGGCGTTGGTGAACGAGAGCGCGGCCGCGGCCGACGATCTCGTTCAGCAATCGACGGTCAGCAAGAAGGTGTCGATGCGCAGCGTGCAGGAGCGCGCGGAGAAGCACGTCAGCTTCTAGACGACGCGAGAGAATCGCCGTATCTCGCATCTTTGATCATTTTCACGACGATGCCTTACAGCCGATGCGTTGCGCTCGCGTTCGGAAACTGAAGACCAGCCTGGCTGCAGTCTTTACTCAACGTTGCTCAATGAGATTTCATTATTAAGGACTGTCTATAATAGCTGTAAAGTATGCGCGTAAGTAGGAAGTAAATTGACCAATTGGATTCTTACAATACAACAAGAATAATCGACTGTGTTTAGTCAATTAGCTTACTGCTTATGTCTTATTACATATTTTACTATTATTGTAGACGGTCCTTTAGAGGTCATTGCATGTGAAAGAATTTTAGTCGTAATAAAAATTTGAGTTTTGACAATTTTAGTCACAAAAAAGTTGCAACACTTTTTCGATGAATTTCGCAACGTGTCTCATATCCAATAGGAAAAGATATCTCCTGGGAATTACTAAAAAATAAATTCTCCTACTGAATATGGGATGCGTTTTGAAAACTTGTTAAAAAAAAAGTGTTAAAACCATTTTGGGACTGACCATACGTGAAATGAGCGGTGCTAATGGCTGTTGCTGTACAAGGTGAGGCGATAACTATTACCACAATGAATATATCTTCGAAATATGCGAGAAAAATGTATCCAACTGAAATTACATTGATACTAACGGTTATTACTTTAAACATCTATTTTCGTTCATCTTCTATCCGTAAAGTATTTTTGTTTTCCAAAGATATATTCGAGATGGTGATAATTATTTTTCTCACCCTGCATATCACATGAAAAATATTCATGAGCTTTGTAAAACGAGAAATTTCATTCACTGCTCTTTTTTTTGAGAACGAATTCGAGGCAATCGCCCAAGTGACGTCATTTCAGTCTGCGATCGTAATACGAATGGTCGTGAATCGGCTCGCTGTAAGACACTGTTGTACCCCAACACGTATGTCTCTAGATGTCTCTTCTTCAATGTATCACGCGGCGACCGTGTTTGCGTTTCTGGCAGTCGCGCGATCACACTGGTCGCTGATTTGTCGTCGCGAAAGGAACATACGTCGGCTCCGTTAACGAATAGGACTGCGTGTTGATCCGATAATTCTCATCTCGGACACCTGCGTGTCCACGATGTAGCGTGTGTATGTTCGTTTCGCGTGATTCTACAAATACGAATGTATCAGTATATTAATGCGAGACGCATCGCTCGGAAGTATATTCGATCGACTGTGTTCCTCCGACTGCTGGAAATTGGATCATCTTCTCGGCTTGCTCTTATCTTATCCTTTTCAACTGCCTTTGATCGAACTCTTCGTCGAGTTGAATCAGTTCCAATTATCGCTAAGTCGACCTTGCTCGCGCGAGACGCTCTTGCTTCAACTAGATTGCTCAAAATCGAATGCACTTCCGGGCCCTGTGCCTCGCATCGTGATATAATTTTTCGCTTTTCCGCTCCGCGAAAACGCGATTCGTGGGAGCTTGTTGATTGTTCCTAACGAACGAGAGAACATTGCGTTCGGAAGCGCTATAAAACATTGTCATGCGGAATCGTTAACGCAATATCAAATTAAAGAAATGCAAAAAAAATCGCGTTCTACCGCACCCACCTCCGAGAACATATCTATATTTTCATTTCAGAGAAGTTATTTTTCGTTACTCGGGGACGCACTCTATAATGTGTCACTTACAAGCTTGATAGCTTTGTCATAGGCTTTCGAAAAAAAAGCCCACAAAACTTTCGTCGGATTCATTCTGTCTACATGTAATCCTCTTTCTTATACATGAATAAATCTCGTTTGAAATGTTCTTTTCGGAAAACACTTGTGTGTATCCTTGCGTGTCACAAATCACCTTGTACTACCCTCTTGATCATTCCATATCTTTGTGTCTTCCTCATGTTTCTTGTGTGCACGAGAATTCCTCTTAGTCACAGGTAAGAATTGATTTTATAGCGCGAATCAAATTGACATGTGCATTCGGCGTCATGTATGCTGTACTATTTTCTATATAAAAAATCACACGATTTTCAGTTTTATACATAACCTACAAGGTTGACAGTCGCATAAGATTTATATATTTTTATATATAGACATATTCTATACATATACGACACCCCTTATATATAATTATATATGGAAAGTTTTTTCCCGGGTAACTCTAATTATAATAGGATTATAATGACTCTAATTATAAATATGATTTTGATCTTACGTGTGTATATATAAAGCTGAAAATAGTGTAATTTTCAATCTAGGGAATAGTACAGCATACACGACGCCGACTGTAGGAATCTTAGTTCTTATCATTGACTCGAGGATACAGCTAAGAGAGATGCAGGATTGATATTAACAATCATTTTAACGCGAGTCTACTAACTACTTTTAGGTTCTCGCAATTTGTCGGGAAATCGTGACGATTCCTACGACGACTTGGACATTTTGTTCGACGGGCGTGGCCGGCCAGTCCAAGAGAATCCTTACGAGGACGATTTCGTGATGACACATCGGCGCTTCAAGGAACGTGCGGCCGCCGCATTCGAGGAAGATATGGCGGAGTTGAGGCGCAAGAGGCGGGATATGCAGGTTCAATTAACGAATCAGAACAATTCGATAATTCTTACTGTCGAGAACCGCGAGTATAACGACCCTAATAGAAATTGAACCTTATGGGTATCCATTCACGAGGTAGTAAATTTGTATCTAACGTCACTACCAGATAATAGCTAGATAAATAAGTTAGCTGATCGTTAAACAAAAGAAAACTACAGTTACGAGACGAAAAATCATAACTCGTTGCCAGGTAGTAATGTAACACTCACTTCTGTTTTCTTAACATTTTTATATCTACATCTCAATTAATGATCAACCAGTAACGAATTAGTAACGAGCTAGAAAATCTAATATAGCATGTATTAGCTAGTTACTAGCTTTTGATTCAGGTCGATTACGTGCATTTTTACTCGGGGAAACGTGTCGAACGCGTCGTTTGATCGTTATAAATCTATATTAAACCGATGGTAACCGCATTGCAGGATCGTATCTTCGACGTGATCGACTTAAACGCCGAAATTGAAAAGGCCAAGAACACGTTGGAGGCCGCGGAAGTGGCGTTCCAACGACACGCGACTAAGTTTGACAATCAGAATGACGAGCAGGAGCAAACGACGTCGTTGGCGCAAAAGCTCGACAGAACGCGCAAGATCACCAACGTGGAGCTGCTGAACGTGGAGAAGTCGAAGGCTAAGCCCATCGTGGCCAAGTGGATCAAAGTGCCGGCCATCGAGAAACCAGAGGCGGCTGAGCCAGCCGGGAAACAGCGCAGGATCAACTCCCTGATTGACATTGGCGAGATCGCCGATCCGCTGGAGTCGCTCGTGATGCAGCCGATGAAACGGAGGTTCTTGAAGCGGAAGAAGAGCGTCTCGTTTTAAAAGGCCGCCGTGACGGGAAAGCGTCACACACAATCGCAACGCACTTAAGATCATCAAGATATTTTCGCAACATTTACTATAAAATCCGAAGGATTTAGAAAAAAAGGGAAAATAATTACGACGAATATTAAGGCTTCTGTTTTCTCGCTACAGTTACTTCATTAATGATGTCAGGTGCGAGAAAACGTATATTTAAAATTCTTGCGGAATATATTGTGAAGTAAAAAGAATACCTTCACTGGGAAAAAAATTTAGAAAATAAGAACTTATTCGATGGATATTAGTAACATATAACATATTTTCTTATACAAAAAAAAATACATATATATACACACACACACGCGAATTTTTTTCAAACAGGAAAATATACATTTTATTAAATCTGTAACTTTGCATTAGGGCAATTGTTTATTCTATGTGTAAATAACAAAAATTAAATTTAAATAAATATTAATATCCACCGAATAAATTTTTTTTTTTATTTTTAGATATTTTTCTCTCTGTGTATAAAGTGATACTTGTGATCAATCGAGTACATGTGTAAAATATTTAAAAAATTTCCCTTTTATTTTAACAATTACTAAAATAGCCGTGAAATTAACGTAACAAAATCATGAGAAAAGATAGGTTAAAAAGGAAGGAGACGTGTGATGTTAATTTTACGGTTATTATCGATTGTAAGAGCAAAAGGGAAGTTTTCGAAATAATTTAAAAATATGCTCGATCGCCCGCAAGTGTCATTTTATGGATATATCTTGTTAATTCAATTTGTATTTTGTAAACATTTTGGACATACATCTTCTTGCTTCTGACATGGTTAAATGAGACGATTGCAGTAAAGAACCAGGAGCCTAAATTGCGAGTTAAAGAAGGTCGGTTCGACGTGGAAAGTGGTTACTACACGTGCGTTGAAAGTTTAGAAAAGAAATCCGGCGTGTGCGTTGCATTGTCGGACAATCCTCCCACTATGATATATACATTATCGCTCAGCGATAGCTCTTATGGCCTATACTTTCTCACAAAGATATTTTCTAACGATTATAACCGCGTCATCATATCCAACCAATCCAAATGTCGTTAATCGTATTCGCGTTCTCTCAGTTATACACACACAACGTTTCCACGTTATCTTCTTGAAACTATATTCGGTGGAAGCATCTCGTCATCGTTCGTCGCAAACGTGTACTTTGATAAAAACGGATTGCTATGTATTTAATATCAAGTACTACTGAATAAAATCAGGAGAGACAATCAGAGGAGATTCGCGACGATTACTGGAAGAAATCTGCTCCAACTTTCCCTAAAAGTTCTCGCTCTCAGGTAACATCGATCGTCGAACATCGATTTATCTGGGAAAGTACCCAGACAGCCAAACTTGTGCAAGTAGATTTTAAGCAGAATCTGCTACAAATTATCGATAGAAGAGAGTAGAAAGGCAACAAATCTAACACAGAATCTGTTCTGTCGGATTATGCTGTCAAACTGCTGCCAGAAATGCGACAAAGCCTACTGACAGGCGAACCGAACAGATTGATGGCAGAAACCGAACAGATCTTGCTGCGTGCAGTGTTTGGCGGCAGGCTCTGCGCGGTTTTTGCTGCCAATCTGCTTCGGATTGCCTGTCAACAAGTTCTGTTGCCAAAACACGAGCTAAATGAGGATATGGGTGGTTTTGGTTTGAGATTCTGACCAAATTTGCTGTCAATCTGTGCGTAGTCTGCGATTAATTTGCTTAATTAGGTATGTGACAACGCGATAGATGCGGAAAAGCACAATTCTTGAGGTCGGAAATATTGCTGTATTTTGTAACGCGAATCACCAGCGATGAACATATATATTATGCCGAATGAATGTACAAATATACAATGCGTATCGTTATACCTGATGAAGAGAAAGGGAGAGAACGATATTGCGGCCTATAACTTAGGAGGCGAGTTCACAGGATCTTCTGGTACTTCAAGCTGTAGTAAGCACGGGTATGGTAGCTATAATGTCTCGACGTGAATATCATGTTGGTGATGAACTTCATGTCGGACGACTTCTTGTGGCTCTTTTCCATGTTCTTCTGATCGTAGGTCCTCAGAGCCCTCTCTGCCCATTCCTGGGCCCTAGGCGGCTCGCGGTACATACCCCTCTGCCTCTGATTGAGATAGTCGATCACGTCGTCGTAGTAATTCTTCCTGTCGAAGATCAAACAGGCAGGATTATTCAATAATCGGTCATTAGAAGCAGATATGTACTCACACATTCGTTTTTCTCGGTTTCGTAATTACTCTATTAAAAAACAAAAAAAACAAGACGACTGCAAGAAGAGATCAGTAGGCCTATGTTGTAACTTCGTGGCGACAATGCCACGTCTAGGATCTTATTTGCGCAGTTTTTCTGTCACATATTATATTTGCGCAACGAGAACGAAACTGTCGTTAAAAATTACAGAATAGACCTATAAAAAACCTTAATTGCGGACTCACCTGTAGTCATAAAGATACTCATAGTTGAGGAACAGCGGTCGAACCCAATGATGATTATAATGAGGAGGCTCGATTTTCTCCAGTTTCAAAACCGGCTGTTCAGAAGCGGCTCCTTCGACGGGCGCACCTTCTGCTGTACCCTCAGCGGTGGCTCCTTCGGGTGCGGGCGCTTCAATGTCCCATGGTGCAGGTTCGTCCTCCCACATGGTGGTTTCAATATGTATTCACCAGAATATAGAGCCTACGAACGAATCGTGTTATGAAATAATTAATGCTTAGCAATTGATTAAATGTCATTCTCTCGTCAAGTTCTCTTCAAGACGCCTGTCAGTTTATTGTAATTTTAATATCGACGGACGTTATTTGTGCACAGTTATTACTCTTGTCGTTTTATAAGCACTCGCGTTTCGAAAGTACATGTGAATCCGATCGAAAATTTCGGGCAATTTAATTTTCAAAGAGATATAATTAACCGATTTGACATATATATATATATATATATACTCATATATATACATATTATATATATTGATACTCCGGCCAAACGGTTTGTTGATGACCTGTTTCTCTACGCGATATATATATATATATATATATATATACAGTACACATCTTCAAGTTATACTTAAATATTAAGTAAAAAATATTAAGTATTGGCTGATTCTCCAAGCCCCTGCACGGAAAAAAAATTAATATAAATTCAAGACTCATATTTTAAATGTATAAGCAAGAATATATAATCTAAATATAAAAATTACTCTTACTCGATGAAATTCTATATAGTTCCACTAAAAATATATTTATTTCATTTAAGAATAATTTTCATAATTTCAGAGGGAAGAACATTGGATACAGAAAGAATTATATCTTTAAACGAATACGATTCTTAGTTTAAAAATATCTTTTTCTCTATTCAATATTTTTCCCCTCAAATCACAAAAATTAATCTTGAATAACAAAAATATGATATTTTTGGTGGAACTATATGGAAGTTTTTCATGTAAGAGCAATTTTTATTCTCATATAAGATTATATTCTTGCTTATATATGAGAATTATATATGAGTCTTGAATTGATACGACTTTTTCCCGTGTACACACACACACATCTCAGCGGATAATCGATTGGAATAATCTAGACGTCGTATTGTTCGTCGCCTTATCTAAGTTACAATTTCGTCATTAGCAAATAAGATTAAGATGAACAACTTCCGGAACGTAGTGTCTATAGAAATGTTGTTTTTACGACACCTCCTACGTGCAACAATACTATAATTTTGCAAATTGAACAAACTTTACAACGTTATATTGTTTTCTTTTCCTTTTTAGTTGACTCGCGGAATATTCAAGATATAATTTCTCTTCACGGAGATAAATTTTTTCTTCCACGCACAATTCGAGACTTCCGCAAAGCGTGATCCGAAAAAGTTATCGGAATTTCCAAATTCATGTCACGCGGAAAATTTTGCAAGAACAGCTACGGGAAGCGACTCCTTCATCCTCGCTGATGCATCCCGACGATCGTTCGCGATTTTTAGAAAGGGTGCCGATCCGATATACCTGCGACACGATACCCGCTCCTCGATGAGCTCGTACGTACTGTGAAAAAACCACCCTTGTACGCGCCGCAGAGTCGCCACTCCCGCTTTGCGTTGTTTCGCTTTTATTTTAGCATGCAACACCTGCCTACCCCCGCACCAGGTCGCCCCTTCGAAGGTACGTGCCCCTCGCTCACAGGGAGGTGGCAATTTGGCACGCGACCCGCGATCACCATTGGCGCGTAGTTCCTCTCCTCCCGTGAGTGCATCACACGCACGTGCGTAACATACAGTGAATCATCCGTTTTGGTGTCCTCAGAATCTGATACGATCTTAAAGTCAACCAGCAGATTAGAAAGAAACTAGTAATAATTTATAATAATTAATATTACCATAATAATTATACACATAAATAATTATCGTAACGATTATAATCATACGATTATCATAATAATTAATTAATATTCATACAAAAAAGAACAAAGGTCATACAAAAAAGAACAAAGATCAATAAAGCCATTTTTAGACTCTCCCGATTTCCATTAAACAATTTTTGTTTCACTTACCAATAGCCTTAGTAAACAAAAAATATAACGCATATCCGCATAAACGCATAAATTCGAACTTTGTGTTCTAATTATGATTGTAAATAGCTTTTAATTGATCGATATGAAACAGCGATTAAAAAAGTTTTTAATGAATTTTTTGAAATAATATTAAAAGTCTGCAGTTTAGTTGTGTGCGCGGCAACGCATTGCAATTATATGTATTATATTTCAGAGAAAAATAATTCCACGCCATTTTTCATTTTGCCGATTCACATACAGGATGTGCCAAAAATGTAGAAACCTTTTAATATTTTGAAAACTATGCATTTTCGAACAAAATATTCTATACAAAAGTTATAGGGTTTTAAGTAACGCATTACATAGCAAGATTAGGGTAACTTCGAATAGCGTTGTCAAGATTATGTAAAGATCAATGAAATTTTTTAACCGAAATGAAATTTGAAATTGAAATTTTTTAAGAAAAACCCCTATTTTTTTATTGCATATTCACATAGCTCGAGAGCTTTTTAGGACGCTATAATAAAGTATATTTTCATTAAATACTTTTCGAATTATAGAGCTTGAAAGTATCGCTGACATTGGCATTATCCAATGTGTACTTTGTAGAGGTTGCATGATTAAACTATACTTATCAATAATTATATCGAGTAAATTGCTACATTGGAGCTATATTGCTACATTTGTATCATTTTCTGCTCCTGCTTCAAATAAGTACACATATATGTACGTAGAAAGTTTCAGGACTTTCAGATATAAAAATATTTTGATACTCTACTGAGGACATACACACTATGCAATGTATATTCTTCAACGTTCGTCCCCTCGCGCCACTTCATGAACTTATTGACATTGAAAAGCTAATGTGACCTCTTGGAGAAAGGGAAGAAGGAGGGGGAATGGATGCTGATACGTATTAGAATCAAAGATTCAAGCTATTATAATGACGCAGTATAATTGTCTTGTGAAGATATCATTGACACGGTACCCTAATTTACTTACTATAAATCACGCGAAGTGGAACAATCGTACACGTATGAACTTGAAATGTCTATTTGCAATCACGTGGTTGAGCTTGTGCCAATTTTCAACGAAGGCGCTTCGAAAATATAATCAATCTTCGCATAATGTTATTTAACATCGAATGCCATTGTTGCAAATTCGGCATATCGACAAATATGCCGAAATCATTTATTTTCTATGAAAGATAAATTATTCGTTACCTTAAATTTAAATAATAATCAATAAAAACGTTTTGCCATCACATCGTGCTTTAAGAAAAAAATATATCCGGAGATATAAAAGATTATATATAATTATATAAAATTATATATAATTATAGATGTATTTTTTTCAGCAAATTTTATGCGATTATATATCTAACAATATCTCGAACGTCCGGTTTGTCAGCTATCGAATCCTTGAACGGTCAATTATGCCGGTATTTCATGACGCGTTGAGTAGTGTTGAGGATGCACCTACAGGGTACCTGAAACCATAGTGAGAGAGAGAGAGAGAGAGAGAGAAATTTCATGAAGAAAAGCGTGTGGAATATAAACAACCTAACCTCCAGTTTTTGTTTGCATCATCGTCAGCTACCGATATCTCTGAAAGTTCCTGCGGAAAATGACATAGAAAAGTGGAACAAAAAAAAGAAGTAAAAAAGAAGTGCTACTTTTCGAAAAACGAAAAACATCTATGAAACCAAGGGAAAGTCTTCAAACCAACAATCACGGTAGTAGACATAAAGCGGTAATTCACGTTTCACAAGTAAGCGCGAGAAATAAAATAAAATTTGCTGCTAAAAGCGCAAATAAACAATTTAAACTCAACATGTTGTATCATGTTCTTGTCCGTAGCGATGTATCAGCGAACACTGTCGACTAGAACGAAACCTTGCCTATTTCGGTTGTTAACCTGGTATCGTGCAAACAAGTTCTCCGATTCTACTGCTGCGAGGGACAGCGTTGACAATCCATCAACCGCAAGCTCATCGCAGAACGAATCTTCCGAGAGCAACTTCGAGATCTCATCCACGGGTGAGGAGAACATTGCTCGTCTGCTGAAGGAATCAGCCACTTACAACGATGTCAAGGACAAGAGCTGGTCGACGAGTCCCTATCCTGCCGGTGTTCCATCCTCCATTGGGACCGAAGAATCCGCGAAGCCAAAGATCGACCCATTGGATACCTGTGTCTTGCTATTTCCCGGACAGGGTACCATCAAGGTTGGCTGGGCACAAAAATACTTGCGCTTTCCGCAAGCAAAAGAATTATTCGAGATAGCCAATGAGGTTCTCGGCTATAATTTGCTGGACCTGTGTCTGAAAGGCCCTCAGGAAAAATTGGACAAGACTCGCTTCAATCAGCCAGCCACAGTGGTGGTCTCGTTAGCTGCATTGGAGAAACTGCGCGAGGAGAGGCCTCGGGTATTCGAGACTTGTAAAAGTGCCGCCGGCTACAGTATAGGGGAACTGACCTCCTTGATCTTCTCAGGCGCGTTGACCTTCGAGGATGGTATAAGGCTGGTCTCTGTCAGAGGCACTGCTATGGAATACGCGTCTAATATAACATCTCAGGGAATGGTGTCGGTTTATTGTACCCCAGAAGCCAAAGTACACGAGGCTTGCCAGAACGCGATAAAGTGGGCGCGCGATATAGGAGTTGAAAATCCAACTTGTCAGTGAGTATTTTGCAACGTACTTTCGCAAATCGTTCTATTCCGTAACTCCTGTGTATTTTACATTTGGCTGTGATTAAATTTTTACACTAGGGACATTGTGATAGTATTGATATAATATTGGTATTGGATTGGTATCGATATTTTTCTTTCAATACCGAGTATTCTTGTATCGATATTCTCATTCGATATTCGTATCAGTACTACTTTGTTTCGGTATGTTTTGATATCTTTTCTTTTTTAATTATACATTTGTCTAATTATAATTATAAATACTTTCATAATGTCCCAACATCCCTACTTTACATACTTTTACACATTGACTTGATTTAATACACTGATATCGATGCTGATTCTTTGCACAACTGATATCGATGATTATTACATTCAAGGAATTCATTTCTTTCACAGGGTAGCTATTTATTTGTGCACCCAATCGAAAATACTGGCTGGAAATAAGGAGGCTCTCGACTACATAATGCAGAATAGCAAGAAATATGGGCTGAGAAACTTGAGGAGGCTGCCCGTGTCAGGTGCGTTCCATACAAGATTGATGGAACCTGCGCTCAAGTCCTTTCGTAAAATGCTTAACACAGTGGAAATAGACGAGCCCAGATGTCAAGTCTATTCCAATTACAAGGGATATAGATACGGCAATGCGAAATTAATTAGACGGTACTTGCCGAAACAGATTATCTCATCCGTCAAGTGGGAACAGACTATGCAGTCTATATACACCAGACCTGCAGGCACGGCTTTTCCGCGAACCTTCGATGTAGGATCGGAGGGAAAGATGAAATCGATCTTGAAATTAATTAACATGAAGGCATATGACCATTGTATAGCCGTCTGATTTATGTATATATCTTTCGACGATGCAGAAAGAAACCAATACATTTAACAATAGTACAATCTTGTACATACGCGGTGGACTTAATTCTCAATTCTACCTAACGTACACCAAATAAAGATGATTGAAGTTTTGTCGAAATCGAGATTATTTGTTTTTCTTATTGAGAAAAATAAACGTGCGTCAGTACAAATGTTCACAAACACAAAGAGAAATGTGAAAAAACGCAGCAATAATCAATATGATCTTATAATTTTTATAGGCCACGAGTAAAAAAAAAGATTTACTAATTATATATTTGATTAAGCGTACTTAATCGTAAGTATAAAATTATTAGAATTACTTTTTCGGCCGTAAAAAGTAAATAAAACTCTATATACAGCAACATTGGTAAAAATGATGGTAATAAGAACATACATAGAAATATATGTACTCCTTAGCGCGATACATAGATTATTTTATATTATCTAATAATGTTACATATCTCAATTACTTAATATAAGTTGAATTTTGCGAGCAACATGGTTTTGCTTGATCTCAGCGCTGTTTTTCAGACCGATATTCACACGATATTCGTAGGAAATTAGAAATTTCCGATATCACTATGTCTAGGGAATATGACAACCTTTCTCCATCCGTGACTGTACTCATCGATAATAGGGATGCATATGGATGGATATAAAAATACATAGAGATATAAGAATAGAGGGAACAAGGGATATATGCTACCTGTAAGTGGAAGTGATAGAGGTCAAGAGAGAGATGGATGCCGAGTGTCCTATCTATCTCTTTCTAGTCGAGCGCTGTGATTGGTTGTTACAATGAGTCGCCAAGACGACCACGCGACGTCAGGAGGGGAGAAAGCAGACTAAAATTTCGTTTTGTAAATATGTGTGCACATGTGTGTAGAATTAAAATTCGTTAAATATTCGAACGTTAACAAAATAATAATTGGACGCGATTTGTTTAAAAATGAGGCATTGTTTGAAATGCAAGGCGGAGTCTTATCCTGGATGTAACCGCAGTTTTCACTCGTAAGAAAGTACAAATACGTAACCTCAAATAATTATATGTTATTTTTTCCTACATTTAAAAAAATATGTAAATGTTGTAGGCTACCGAAGGATGTAGATGTAAGGCGTAAATGGTTGAATATACTTCAACTACCTTTGTATTTTGAAATGAAAACAGCATATATTTGCAGTGATCATTTTAGCAATGACAGTTTCTTTGAATTGGATGGAGAAAAATGTATAGCTATATATCGTCGTTGGCGCGGCAGCCAATCCCAGCGCGTGATTAGAAAGAGACAGATAGGACACTCGGCATCCATCTCTCTCTTTGCCTCTATCACTTCCACTTACAGGCTTGTTCCCTCTATTCTTATATCTCTATGTAAAAATATCTGAACTGAGCATAAAATACCCTTATAGATCTATCGTCGCGGCCATTTTGATACCTCAGATTTAGTATTTACTTTTACATCACGACATTCGAATATGATTGGTCAATTTCTTATTCTTACTTCTTATGAACATACTTTCATACTGCTCATTGTAGGTTACGCTTTAAGCTTTATTAAGTCGTAAGAAATTGACCAATCATAGTCAAGTGTGAGAAGAATAGTCGATTATGATTGGTTAATTTCTTACGGTTTAAAGCTTATTGGTTTGTTCATGTTGCTAGTACTTTTCGCACTCGATTTTTTCGCTTCTTCTAGCGCTCGAATATGCGCCTGTCTTTTTCTAATGGCTCTTGCGATGCACGACGCGACATGCGATACACAATGCGCGATATCCAATGAGCGTACTGTTTTTCCAGAAGAGCTGCAGGCTCATTGGATATTGTACATCGTGTATCGTGCTGGCTGTGAGAGCCAGCACGAAAAGTGTGAGAAATATAAGCAACACGACAAGCCTATTTAAGTTTGCTGCACTAGTGCAGAAAGTTCGAGATGAAAGAACAAATACATATTTTCGTTTGTGTGCTGCAAAAGTAATCCAAGCTTTGGTTTCCCGCATCTTTATTGTTTAGGAACGACGATATTGTAGTATAATAAGGAGTGATGATAAAAAATATACCTAATTTAGTGGATCAATCTAAGAAAATGTTTAAAGAGACATTGTCAACGTCACGTAATGCTAAAAATTATCCGCAATTCCTTGTAATCGAAGGTAAATACGTAAGATCTACAGATTAATTTTTCTGCATTTCTTCAATCTTTATGTATTAACTTTTGTCACAGACCACAAGGCTCTACTTGGGTCTCTTGAAATGAGCAGTATTAGCTGGTCCGGTTCTCTCAGGTACTTCAATGGCACTTCAAATTTTAATAAGGAAAATGCTGCTTTACTAAAAGAAACGTATGACTGTTGTGGAGATGCAGCTTTTTTGGCACGAGATACATTCGTCGTCGTAGGGGACAAAGGTGCTGTAGAGATTTTTCAAATAATTCCAGATGATCAAGAAATACTAGAGCTTCAGTCTTTGAATTATGCTCGTTATCACGATGACAGTGTTTACGCAGTATCTGTACTTTATGGTAGAAAAAACATAGTTACAGGTGGATTAGACTGTTGGTATGTTAATTTTAAAGTATCGTACTTGGTTTATTTTTTTTTTCAACCAAATTGGCTACACTAGTTCAAGAAATTTATGCATACTGAAGCCTAAGAATCTCTACGTATGCTTCATAAGCTTCAGTATGTATGTGTGTGTATATAAATTTCTTGAACTAATACAGCCAGTTCAACTAAAAAAAAAACAGGCCAAAAGTTTCACCATAAAAATAAAGTGTTAGATTTATATTTGTTGCAGTATCAAAGTCTGGGATGTAGAAAATTTAGTTGCAACACATTCGTATAGTTTTGCACATACAGACTGTATCACTGGGACGGATGTAAAGCCCATGTGTGATTCTACATTTGCATCTACTTCCTTAGATGGTGATTTATCATTCTGGGATATTAGGCAATCTAAACCAGTATATTGTACGTACAAGTAGATTTCATTTACAAGTTTCCTTCATTTATTCCAGTCTCTATGGTTTCCAAATATATTCTTGGATTTTTCCAGGTACCATCAATAGAAAACAGAAGTATTATTCGATATCTTGGAACACTGCTATGGCCCAGTTTGTTGCCATAGGTGGAGATTGTGGTATGATTGAATTAATCGACGTCAGACAACCAGATGAGCCATTATTTAACTCTTGTTTGGACACTGGCAGCGTCTGGAAGGTATTATTCAATCCAGATCGAACGAGGTATGGTTTTTATTCAATGAGTAAAGTTAATTCCATTTAATGTAATTGTAACTCTTAATATCATCGGTTTTTATGGCGACTTATATTTCTATTTACTCTAGAAAAAATCAGTTAGCCTGTTGCTTCGATAGCACGTTTGTGAGAGTGTTAGATATTTCTAAAGAAATGCGGGTGGTAATGGAGGATAATAAGCACACCGACTATGTACGAGGACTAGCATGGTGTGAAGGTGACTTATTCTCGTGTGCTTGGGACGACAACGTGATTAAACGTACAATACCGCTTAGCGACAGTAACGATAGTAATGACAATATCGATAATAACGCGGGTCGATAATAACAAATTAATGTGATACATTTAGTCAGAAATGACTGTTTAATGAAATTATTAAATTCCCCTTTTAATGAATTAAAAATAATTATACAACGATAAATTTGTCAAAGAAATTGTACACTCAATTTCAAAATATATTTGTATATTCGATGGTCATTTTTTATAGCATACATTTAAGATTTTGAATCACATTTCTTCCATCAAATTATTTGAGAATCTATCGTTTTTCTAGTTTAGTGCTGACCGTATTTATCGTGATTATTTGTATTTTATTATTATTACGGAAGACTACTAAAAATGTACGGCGTCATTGTCAAGAAATTACATAATACTAATGTGATAGAATCACTCGAAGAAGCAAGGGGAACTTTTTTGAGTTTCAAAAAAAGAAACGATCATGTAACGCATTTGTAAGTAATTAAAACAAATCTTTCTTATTTATTTTCTTTTTTTGATCCTACAATATATGTGTACACATATGATGTGCCGATTATCCAATAGGATAATACAATTATAGGTTTATCCGATATTTTACTTACAAAATTACCTCGGTAAATTGTGTCAATGAGTTGTGATATAATGTCAACGAAGTACTGCAGATAAAAGCTTATGGTCGCAAAATGTTTGAAGGAGGAAGTAGAAAAAAACAATGTCGGATACAGTATACGGTATAAAGATCTTTGATCAACATTATAATCAATTATAATGTATTAAATCTATCTGAGACAAACGGACTTATTCTCTGGTGGTGCACAGAATAATGTAGGTTTCTATGTACTTGGGGCATCGCAAACATTGCCGCGTCTCTCTCTTTCTCTCTCGTAACAATTGCGACTTATTTCATCCGGATACATGATAGATAACACTTGTTCATCTCAAACGAATCCCGAACGCTTAAGTTTCATAATTGTACTGCAATTTGTAAGACTGATCCGTAGGATAACTGCATAAATAATTTCTTGTAAGTACATTAATATCAAACTCGTTTATGAATACAACGTACATATGCATTACGTGAAATTCGTCGGAAAAACAGACGGTAGAGTCGCAAGAAAGACGGCATGTGTAATTGTACAGTATCTTCCGTCGCGTTATTATTATTATTATTTCCCCATTGTATTATGCTGTATCTGCACACACACTCATTCTCACACACACGTCATTCAGGGATGGAAACCTTTATACCGGGTGACACTGTACCGGTTTGATTGAAAATATCCCGATGCTCTGCTTGATATGAACGTTCCTCCCTATTTCCGTTTAACTACCAGTGCCTCTGATTAAATTCGCAATTACAAATCCTACAGCTATCATCACCCATATAAAAACTTGGAAAGTAGCACGCATGATAACTGTTCATCCAATATGTATATATATATATATATAGGAAAAGCAAATAATCAATATATCTAACATGATTGACACATTAAATTGCACGTTAAGGGCGTTGTACCGGTCGATAAGGTCATCAAACAATTTGCATTTGTGGCACCGAGAATAATAACGAATGTTCATGTCGATGAGAATACATGTGACGTTCCGCGTTCGCGTAGTCTCGTTTCAACTACTGCTTCGCGTGCGCGCTTTTTGTTCCATTGCATATTACAGAAATTATTAAAATCGTTATGTACAATTCTCTTTATATATTGAAATATATATAATTGCATCGCGACTAATGCAACATGTAACTCCCGCATCGACACTCATCATTCTTAACCGCCTAAGTGTAGCATATACGTAATTATTCTTACGTTATTTTCTTTTTTTTTTGCTTTTAACACGTCTCGTCCTTCCTCCGGTTATCGATAATGCTTAAATTCCATGTTTGAGCACTTTATTCAATTACAACCCGAACTCTTTGTCGTCATCTTCTGGTCGTACGTCCCCGTACATCCAAATGTTGCGGTGATTATGCTTCGCGTCTTCCTCAGCCTTCTTATATTCCTCGATCTGCAAACGAATTATGCATGTATACACGGTTGTAATACGATAAGTAAACGCATACGCGCGCGTATGTGCTTATCGGGCTGTAGATGAATAACAAGGCTTGTTATAATAATCTGACGATGAAACACTCACCAATTTCGTGAGCCTCCTGTCCCGATGCTTCTGAACATGCACATATCCGTCGGAAATCAATCCCTTTCCAATGTCGTAGTTTGTATTGGTATGCGCCAACGTAACAGCAGTCAGATTGCTACTCAGTTTGTATTCCACGTTCAAGAGCAGAATTTTGTCCAATACGTCTTCTTTGAACGCCTCTACAGCCGCTCTCTTGTCGTCGGCCTGCAAAGACAATGTTACACATGATCGACGGACGTACGAAAAAGTAGTGCAATCGGATCGTTACTCACGTCGCTCGGAAGCGTCACGCATGCGAGCGCGTACTCGTGGGCATACGGCTTGTCGGTAGCGAAGCGCGCGGGGAGATCGGCGACTCGCGTAACATGGACGGTCTCCCTGTTACCATAGTCTATGTAGAACACGCTGACGTTGGTGCCGGAAACCTTCTCTGTCTTCACACGATACCACTGATCGTCGCCCGTGAATTTCGCGACCGCCAGGTCGCCCCTGGTCGGCTTGTAGGCGCCGGGTAGCGGCGGATTGGCCGATAACTCTTGCCGTAGCTGCAGCAGTAAGTTCTCCAGCATACTTCCTTGATCGACACTCTGGGCGTAGAAGTGGAGGTCGTCGGTGACTTCGGAAATCACGACCTTCTGATAGTCGATCTTCCGCTCCTGTCCTTCCTTCTCGTCCACGATCTTGTCGGTCTCCACTGGCATCTCCGCGCGCGTTTTCCAGATCTGCAACGCGGAGTTACGTTATTGTGAATACGCGCGCGACAACTCCGTGCATCAGCTGCATGTAGGGGTAGGTAAGGTGACCACCTTTAAGATTTGTCGATTTTTCCTCATTTTCGTCGTAACGTAAAAATAACGATCAATTTTTTTTCTGAGTAGCTAATAAAATCTATCATTTGTGTAAACTGAAAAATTTAGAAATAAATTGTAATTTAAATTTAATGCTACAATAAAATACACTTTGAAAACGTTTCGAAATACTCAAAAGTAAAAGTTCGAAATTTTGATTTCTCGGTACGGTCCGTCAGATTACACGTCACTTACATTGAGCATCTTCGTTTTCGCGCGTTCCTCCGCGGCCTTAAGACTCCTCGTGATCTCGCCGGAATCCTGGAAATTCACCACCTCAGCGAGGCCCTCCTCGACCAGAGCGACGGACATGTTGACGTCGTTCACCGTCAACCAGCCGATGAAACCGCTCAATTTCGTCTCTGTGCTCTCGATCTTGATCTCCACGTCCCGTTGGAAACAGTGCTCCTTGGTGAAGGCCAGAGCTTTCTCGCCGTACTCGTCGGCCTTCACTACCCCGCCGCCGGGCAACGTCCTTTGGCAGCGCGGAGTTCTTATCCCAGCCAGCACGAACGTGATAACGTAGTCTTCCTTCGGGAGGAAGAGCTTCAGGCGCGAGCCGCTCGTTACGAACTCCACGACAGCTCTGATCCCCTGCGCTCGCTTGAGGGAGGTCAGGAACGCCTTCGCCTTCGACGGGTCGTTCGAGAGATCCACTATTCTATGAACTGGAATGTCCTTCTTCGCGTGCAGCCCATGCTGCGATTTCTCCGCCTTGCTCTCGGCCACTTGCAGGAGATTATAATGAGAGGAACGCTGATCGTCGTTCTGCCTGTACTTGATCACTCGCGCGAGACCCCGTGCGACTAATGCCTCCGCGATGTTCCTGTCGGCGTGGAAGTAAAGAATGCAGGATGATCAATTGTTTAGCGATTAACGGGAGTAGAGAGGTTTGAACTCGCAAGAAAGGCCGGTAAAATTCAACTCGTTGCTATACGGGCATAGGCATCCAGTCACCGGAGCAAAAGAAGTGAAATTTATTTTTAATTTCTTAAATATATTTTTATCATTGGTATATAGCACAAGTAACTTACAAAAGGACTTCATATTCAATTAATTCCTGCACCTATATTAACGACTTAAATTTTACTGACTTCTCACAATTCCAAAACCTTTGTCTGTCCTTAAGGTTTCTCGCTGCAGCTTGATGACATCACAAGCGAGAAAATGCATGTCCAAAGTTATTGCGAAATATGTTGAAACACAAGGAATATGTCCATAGAATGACGCTTTGTGACTCGATTCATTGAGCACATTTGTGAAATATTATGAAAACTTTAGCTCTATCGATAAATAATTGCACAATTAGCGTAACATGCAACCTTCCTTTTTAACCTTTCTCACTATTATTTCGTCATATTAATTTCTTACAGCTGTTTATTAATTATTACTATAAAATGAAAGTTCTCGGAACATTTTACAAATGTGCTCTCAATCGATCACAAGCATCATTTGACGGATCTTCTGTTTCAACGCATTCCGCAAGAATTTCAAGCACACGTTTTTCCACATCTGACGTCATTTAACCAGACAGCTGCGGCGAGGCAGCAGAAACCTTTGATTGGTCTGTTCTTTTTAGCTGCACTAGTTCAAGAAATGTACATTGAAACGCATGAAGCATACATATGAAATTCTTATGCTTCGGTGTGCGTAAATTTCTTGAACTAGTGCAGCTAAAAAGAGCAGACCAGATGTGCCGATCTTGTCGGGAAACGGAAGCCGATTGGGGCAAAACTTACGTTTTGCCGCATGTAACCGTGCAGCAGAGTTTCTCCGGGAAATTGTCCCTGGCCGGCTGCGTATAATCGACCACCACCTTCACGTTCTTCCTGATGAATTTCTCGCGCAAGAACTCTCGCGCTTCCAACATCCACGGTATGTCGTACAGGGGTCTGAAGTCCTTCGGCCGGGCGGTGTTGTTACTGTCCTCGGTGTTCTTCTTCTCGCGGGCGGGCGGTCGAATACTGCTGAGAAATACCTTCTTGTTCTCGCCGTTTTGCGTGCGGATAATGAGCGCGTCCGCGTTGATGATCTCAACGACGGTGCCAGTGAACTCAATCTGCGGGCCGCACGGCTTGTAGTCCTTCCACAGGCGCAAACGCGCCTCCTTCGCGGCTTTCTCGGCCAAGTAGAGCTTCTCCGCGCCGGATCTGCTGTTGCTGATCGACCAATCCTGGCACTTGGCGAAACCCTCGCTCAATAGAATCTCGGCGATATTGCCTGGAGAATATAAGATTCAGGTAAATATCGACACTCACACTCCGTCGGATTTACTTAACCCTCTAATGGCAGGATGGATTTTCACAAAGCATCAAAGCGTTTTTCAAAGTGTTTTACTGCAATTATTTAAAGTGAATTAGTAAGTTTATTGTATCTTCTTTCATCTATAAATGAATAGAGAGAGAGAAAGAAATTTCATGTTATTATTTACTTCTTTATCCACTTTATACATTGATAAAATGAGAAATGAACAAAACAGGACATGAGGTCGGACCAGACTTCTACCTTACCATTAAACGTGACATCGACTCACCCTTAGGATGAATAACGCTGCCAATGAAGTTGTTATTGTTTACCGACTCCAGCACTATCTCGACGTCCCTGTGCAAGAGTCGAGATTCCACAAAGTATCTGGCTTCGTCCGCGTAAGGGTCGCCCACGGAATTCTCGCGGCGTCCGTTCGGCCAGCCTGGGCAGCGAACACCCGAGATCATTAGTGTTATGTTGTAAAAATCAGGCAAGAGGAAAGCCTTGACTGTAGAGCCATCGAAGACGAACTCGATTACAGCTTTGATCGGTTTCTTGCCGAACTTCTCGATCAATTTCCGAGGATCGTCGACGGTCCACTTAATGTCCCTTATGTGCTCGGAAACCGGCGAGTCAGCCCATTTCCCCTTCTTCGCAGCCTTCGCTATGTTCTCCAATTCGATCAACCGAGTCTGCTCCGCAGTAGGATTACGGTTGTCCTTCTTCACCGTCACCAGGCCTTCAGACACCAGAGTCTCAATCACGTTCTCGCCATTTCTGTCTGCAATACGATGATAAACATTGAATATGTAGTTTATAATATATTATATAATAAATATTGACTTTTTTGTAATATATCCCTCAGTCCTCAGGATTCTATCACTCAAATTATTACTGTAACACGTTTACTTTTACGTTTAGTTTTTCATTTCATTCACATATATTTTATATGTTTATTTTTATATTTTATTCGCATAATTCCTGCAAGTATAAACTTTTCTTTATTTATCGTACCAAAGGGAGATTTTTTCTGTAAACTCATATAATAAGAATTAATTTTGTTATCAATTCTCCGACAAACAAATACCTTTTCCTAGCCAGACGGTGCCATAAGTCCTAGCTGTGTTAACAGACTTCTCAACGGCAAAAGTGACATCTTGACCGATGAGTTTCCTGCGCAAAAATTCCCTGGCTTCCCATGCATATGGCTCATCCTTGACATCATCCATACTATAAATGAATATACAGATTATTTTCTCGTATTAAAGATTTTATCCTGAAAGAGCTGTTATTTATAAAATTAAACAGATCACCTTTTTATAATTTCTGAAAAAATTTTCAAATTTTAAAGATAATTGAAAAAAAAAGCCAACTTTGTGTATAAGCAATAATATGACCATTGTGATGTTGCAACATGATGAGAGATGTAATTATTAATATTTAATTTATACCTCTCACAGTATTTAAATAGCATGCTAACACGCACCTATCGTTTCCTTTCCAACGTTCCAATTTTGGAGCGGTGATATTGCACAAAGTGACCGTAACTTCAGGTGGAGGGCCTCCCATGGGCTGTCCCCGGATGACGATGATGTCTCCAGATGTCACCTTTAAAATTCGAGTCGTGCATCACGTAAGAATTTAATCGGCTTAACGCCATATCCAACGTTGCGCATGGTATCTTGAGTCAACATATTTATTACGCAACCACTGATAGTTTTCATACAACTTTCCTCCCAATGAGCTGCCGCGAAAGGTGAGACCAACGGCGAATTAATTACGGCGGATACTAAAAGCGGAGAAAAGCGAGCACGAAACCGTCGCGAAAACACTTTTATTTTCGCCGACATAACGGACAACATACGCGGTATTCGCGAGCACATGGAGGTGCGTCGCGGTGACGATACTGCGGCGTGTAACCATATGTTCTCCGGGCCGCTTCCTGCCAGCTGGGCGAGCAACGAGGAGCGAAATCACGCGGCGCAAATTAACCGACCAGCCTACTGGAAATTCGCCTGATGAGGCGTACGATCGAGTAATTCTCACGCGCCGGTCCTTACCTGCTTCACCACTCCATTTCTCAATTTCACTGGTGCCTGAGGTGCGCTCATGGTGCTCGCGGCACGATGTTCGCTCAATTCGGCAAATGGGGATGATTCGCGGCTGGTCACGATGGTGCACGCGCCCGCAGTACGGTAGCCGATCCGCGCACGTTTCTCGGATCTGTTCGTATCCCGGGGACTCGGCTGAATTAGAAGTTCCTCGTAGTTGCGGTATATTAGTCGTGAACTCAGGAGTAGGTTGACATGTTGGTTGTACGCGGTAGACGACGAGAGAGAGAGGCACCGCACGCACGCACGCTTTCCATGTATCAGTGGAGTGGCCGGCACGAGCGCGATCTACACAGGGAACATCGTCCGAAATCTCGTTTGATTTGGTGGTGATGTGGCAACACGCGACACGACGCCGCGCGCCACGGTGTCGCACTCTATGCGCCCCCGGCCGGCGATGCGCGCGCGCGCACAAGGGCTGTGCGTGGAAACGCGCGAAGTCCGACCGCCTTTTTCGTCCACTTGCATTTCCCTCATTTACCTGCCCGGAGCGGCGCGTCTCTCTCTCTCCCTCCCTCTCTCTTTCTCAGCCACGTCTACATTACATTACGCGTCTATGTTCTCTCTTTCCGGGGGAAGAAAGTTTATATATATTCATATAAAATTATATATAATCAGGTGTAATTATATATATATGTGATTTATATATGAATTTTGGCTCTATATGTGGCTGCGTATATAATTATATATGTCCGCCACAAAATAAAAGTACCGTTGAGTGGAAAACGGGGGAGAGTAGTTTAATTTAATTAAATGTTTACATCGTGAACAGCTATAAACATTTACTTCAATTATATTTATAAAAAAAAATTTTTCTTGGACATAGAATTACATATGATTATATATATATATATATGTGTGTGCGTGCGCGCGCGCGTGTGTGGGATACGAGGATCTCCAATAAACATCTTTCATAAATGTTCCAAGCGAGTGTAAATTATCTTAGAAAAGTGGGTCAAGAAAGAGAGAATCACATAAAATATTTAATCTTTATTGATTCATTATGATTATCTTATTTCAAACTGCCATAAGGTTGGGTAGTAACGAGTTAATCAATTAAAAGTCAAGTTGGGAACTTGCTAACTTTTTATTTAACTTAGTTAATTTCAACTGAGTTAAGTTTTAACTTAAAATACATTAATTTTTTCTTATATAAGTTAAAATGACGCGTCAATATTAAAATCATTGCGTCGAGCTGCTTAAAATAGAGAATGAGAAAAATAAAAAATGTCAGAAATATTTTCATCTTTCTGAGCACTAGTGCTCTTTTTTGTATAGAATCTTGGGAACGAAACAAACATTTTCTTGTAAAGACTTTTCATTATCTCACATAAATTTAATCTACAAAAGTTACTTGTGCAAAAAAAACATATACATACATTGACTTGACGTAAATTAACTTTCAACTTGAATTAAAAGTTAAAAAATGGATAAAAACCAGCAAAAATATTAAAGACACTTTAAACAAGAATCTAATATTATACGGGAAGAGGTGAGAGGTAAACTAGAAAATCGATAAACCTGGAGGACAAGCTGAGAGCTACACAAACCAAACATAGAATGACAATACTAATACACATCCTTGTATTGAGTACACAAGGCCTTTTCGCTTCAATTCGAATCTATTCGTATTATCAACCACCATTTGATTGGTTATTCGCCTTTTAATTTTGTCTCGGAACACAGCATGTTTAATTCGTAATGATACTTTATTGCGCATGAAATTCTTACAACCTTATTACATAAGGGTGCAATTTATGACGTCGCCATGGAATGATGAAGTGCTAAACATTAAATTGTAAATACGCAAAAGTATAAAAAAAAATTGTAATGGTCACTCTAAAGTGGAAGGTGAATTCAACTGCGAAGAAGACGTGGGAGAATCCAAGCGACAGGGGTCCCCGGCGAGGCGAGTCCCAAGGGTGCGTTAAATCGACGCGCATGTTACACGCATTACCGGTTTAAACTATACAGGATCGTGTCGATAACCGCTCGTTAACAATTCTCGTGTATCTCTCTAAGTAAGCGCACAACACGGCATCGCCCTGCACGAGCGCGATGAACGAACCGGAGAGGATATCATGAGTGACGAACACAAACAAACGATATTCACTATTCTAACTGAAATTAAAAACGAAGATCCCGGCAAATGGCAGAATTAATTAATTAAAGACAGTCTCTTTTGCTGTTTCTATCGTCTAGGTCGAAGTCTTTGGATTCGATAGAAGTCTTATTACAACGTCTCGTAGAACGTGGCTTAATCTACTTCCTCCATCCTCGACGCCTCCTCCGAATCACCCTCCAAAGGCGGCACTTCCGTGTCCATCTTCTCGTCCTCGGCGCTCGGCGCGTCGTCGTCGTCGAAGCCAAGGCCGAGCTTGATCATTCTGTATATCCTGGAAGCATGCACCTGCGGATCTTCGAGGGCAAAGCCGGACGAGAGCAGGGCGGTCTCGAACAACAGCATAACCAAGTCTTTGACGGACTTGTCGTGCTTGTCCGCCTCCGCCTTTTGCCGCAGGTTCTCCATGATCGGATGGTCCGGGTTGATCTCCAGATGTTTCTTTGCAGCCATGTAACCCATGGTGGATGTATCACGAAGTGCCTGCGCTTTCATAATCCTCTCCATGTTCGCCGTCCAGCCGTATTGCGAGGTGACGATGCAGCAAGGCGAGTCGACCAGCCTGTTGGATACCACCACCTTTTCCACTTTCTTGTCTAGGATGTCCTTCATGACCTTGCAGAGATTCTCGAACTTGGCCTTGTCCTCCTCTCGCTTCTTCTTTTCGTCCTCGTCCTCCGGCAACTCCAGGCCCTCCTTAGTGACGGACACCAGCTGCTTGCCGTCGAACTCTTTCAGCTGCTGCACGACGTACTCGTCGATCGGCTCGGTCATGTAGACGACTTCGAAACCGCGCTTCTTGACACGCTCGACGAACGAGCTGTTGGCTACCTGCTCCCTGCTCTCACCGGTGATGTAGTAAATGTGCTTTTGGTTCTCCTTCATTCTACCGACATAGTCCTTGAGCGAACACATTTCATCGCCAGACGCAGAAGTGTGGTAACGAAGCAGCTCCGACAGCTTCTTCCTGTTTTGGCTGTCCTCGTGGATGCCGAGCTTCAGATTCTTGCTGAATTGCTCATAGCACTTCTTGTAGTTCTCTTTGTCCTCCGACAGCTCCTCGAAGAGCTCCAGGCACTTCTTCACGAGATTCTTTCTGATCACCTTCAAGATCTTGTTTTGCTGCAGCATCTCACGAGAGATATTCAAGGGCAAGTCCTCGCTGTCCACGACACCCTTGATGAAGTTCAGGTACTCCGGGATCAAGTCCTCGCAGTTGTCCATGATGAAGACACGTCGTACATACAGCTTGATGTTGTTCTTCCTCTTCTTGTTCTCGAACAAGTCGAAGGGCGCGCGACGAGGAATGAAGAGGAGGGCACGGAATTCCAACTGGCCTTCTACAGAGAAGTGTTTCACCGCTAAGTGGTCTTCCCAGTCATTGGTTAAGCTCTTGTAGAACTCGCCGTATTCCTCCTGGGTAATGTCGTCCGGATTTCTCGTCCAGATCGGCTTGGTCTTATTCAGCTCCTCATCCTCAGTGTATTTCTCTTTGATGGTCTTCTTCTTCTTTTTCTTCTCATCTTTGGGCTTGTCCTCCTCCTCATCTTCGCCAACGTCTTCGATCTTGGGCTTCTCGTCCTCAGTCTCGCCTCCCTCCTCCTTCGCTGCCGGCTCCTCCTCCTCATCCTCGCTCAATTCCTTATCACGCTCCTTCTCTACAACGAGCTTGATGGGATAGCCAATGAATTGCGAGTGCTTCTTGACTATCTCCTTGATCTTCGACTCTTCCAGATATTCCGTTTGATCTTCCTTGATATGGAGGATGATCTTGGTGCCCCGTCCAATCGGCTCGCCGTTGTCGGGACGTACCGTGAACGAACCACCGGCGGAAGATTCCCAGAGGTACTGCTCGTCGTCGTTGTGTTTCGAAATGACAATGACCTTGTCCGCGACAAGATACGCCGAGTAGAAACCAACACCAAACTGTCCGATCATGGAAATATCGGCGCCAGCTTGCAGAGCCTCCATGAATGCCTTAGTGCCAGATTTGGCGATGGTACCCAAGTTGTTTACAAGATCAGCCTTGGTCATACCAATGCCGCTGTGAAGATAGAGAAAATTCAAATTGACTACAACTATTACGTCAATAGATATATAATTTATATGTAATTTTTTTGGTAAGTTGATACTTACGAATCAAGAATGGTCAGAGTACGGTCATTCTTGTTTGGGACGATCTTGATGAATAATTCCTTGCACGTGTCTAGCTTGGTTGGGTCCGTAAGAGATTCATATCGGATCTTGTCCAGTGCCTAGACAATTTCATAGAGAAAACTTATTGTAATGATAATTTTTAATATCTGTCAAATTTTTATTAGTTAATTCTTCCTTCATATATTAAAAGCCAAAAATTCTAAATATTAACCAGCGTTGCCATCCCGTCATCGCAAGAAAAAAAAGTAAAATAGTGACTGCTTGAAAATAAAAAAAAAGTGACTTTTCAGATATTAAAATAATGACCAAAAATGATATTTTTCGTCAAATTCTGAAAATAACCAAGAATACTTAAGCAAAAAGTAACATTTGTTCTTACATCTTCTCAGGTTTATCTTTGGGTAACTTAATCCTTAGCTGACACACGTCAAAATAATAACGTACGTGCTATAGGGGGTATTTTGGACCCCAGTAAGAAAAAAATGTGTATAATTGTTTTATTTATCAATATTGGGTCAAGGCTCGACTAATACTAGGTGACGCCACAGAACCAAATTTGGCGCGCAGCTATGAAAAATTTGCGTTCAAAAACACTCTGGGATACTTTTAACCCCATGTGTCAGCTAAGGGTTAACATATAGTAAGTTCTTAAATTAAGTTCTTTTCATAACATGGTTTAAAAGTTCATAAGACCAAGGACATAAGCAATAAAAGTATAATTTCAAAGCAGTTTTATCAAGAGAGACGACAAATAAATAAATAAATATATAGAATCTCCAGATTTTACAAATTTAATGGCAGCTCAGAAAATTATAGTGACTTATTTTTGACAACGATAAACTTTTTAGAGACTTGCCAAGAAAAAGTAGCAAAAGATAACTTATATCATTGGATGACAGCATTATTATTAATACATTCTGTACTGCATGTACCACTAATAGCCTATACAGAACTTTCTGTTCAAGTCAGCTCGTTGAATTCGCAACACTATGTACGCCATTAGTGGTTCATGAATAAAAAGTTATGCAAAATTGATTCAACATGAAACATGTTAATATATTTGTAAAAAGCATTAAAAATAATAAAATAAGCAACATTAAAATGTATAAATTTAGTAAATATATTAAAGCAAAGAGAAACTTTAACACGAGAACAGATATATCATGCTCTGTATGCAATATGAGAATAGAGAATATGAAAAAATCGAATATAATTTTCTCTGTACAACAGCGATCAAATTGTCACTTAACTAAACCTTAAAAGTTAATAGCAAAAACCACGACAATAACGATACTTGCAAATGAAAGATTTCATCTTGGTTAATTAATTTTAAATGTTTAACAGATAAATATCATATATGACATAAAAGAAAAATGTATGCACAAATATTGAATCAAATAAAATATGAAATCAGACAATGACTATCGAGCTACTTCGAGTTGAGCCAACGGCCATGATAGGAACCGAGCATGACGGTATTCTCAATTTCTACCGGTGGACGCGACGCAAAAGCCCACTTACATCGGACGAGTTGGAGATCAATTCTCGGATGAAAATCTCCTTGTTGGAATAGAAGGTGTTGATGATTAGGCTCATCAACTGAGCGATCTCTGCCTGGAAGGCGAAAGTCTCCACCTCGCCGGTATCGGACATGCTAACGTCTTCGGGCATTTTTCTTTTTTTTCTCAAGCTGTTATTTCACTAGGAACAGGAACACAACCGGAGACACGACGTGTTGGTGCGTATGCGATTTGACTTCAAAAAGTCGCAAATTTGATAAAGTACCGAGAAATATCGCACAGGCGGGTGAACCGATTCAAACGCTCTCACTTTCCGAACTAAGGCGAACAGCGCGCGCCGATCGTCTTTTTATATCCAGTCAAGCTTCTGGAAGCTTCTCGAGAGGCGGTCCATCCGGTTTCTAGAACGTTCAGTTCAGAATCAGTCCTCGAGGTGGAGCGATGTAGTGGAAATGCAGTCCTCGGTCACGAGTCTCGTTGTCGTAAAATCTCGCACGTTTTTTCAACGATGTGACTCGCATCCTTGATCGCTGAAAATACTTTCCCGCTCGTATCGGCTCGCGGCTCCGCTCGCGCCACCAGCGTAGTCGCAGGAAGTTCCACCATTTTCCTTCGAATCTAGAACCATCGGGACAATTCCGCTAGGCGCCCTTCGAATAGGTGGGTGAGGATGCATACACGTAACGATAGTTGTGTGTGTGTATTTCTACGTACGCGTACACACGCGTGCAACCGTGCATCAGCATTTCGGTTCTTTGCAATAATTAGCCTGCCATAGGACGATTTCGAGGACGACGTCGTAGGTATACCCGTTGCGCATTCGAAACGCATGTTTGAACTTCGTTTTTAGCAGCGTTCGTTTCTTTCTCCTCCTTCGTTTCGCTGGACGCGTAAATGACAGAAATGAGTAAAATGTTCTTTTCATTCGTTGCGAATAAACGTGCACGGTGATATTCGAGCAAGTAGCTTTTTCCTACATACTGTGTATACCGCGAATATAGGATATCGAAGTTACTCGAGCATCGGTCGATTCCTATTTCAGAGAATTTATCGCTTTCACACGCGGTCGGAAACGATGACCACATATTTGAATCATCATATTTGAATCACCGTGATCGCTGCAACTTACCTTGCGAGATAGATTATCAACAATATTTTTAATGTGATCGCATGATTATTGACCTGCGTGTTCGGAAAATTATATTATGAATATATTCAGACTCGCTATTTTTATTGACACCATCACGCTCCAGTCGATCATAAGGTTGATTATTGCGGCACGCTGAATCGCTTGTTCGATAAACGGAGAAACCGACGATACCTACCACCGTATGCCGACGAAGTATATTATATATGTGTGTGTGTGTATATATATATTCGTGTATGCATTTCGCGTCTCATTGATCGTATGTGGTGCAGTTTTTTTTCAGAGACATGGATCCTGAATGCCTCGCCAGATTAATCCCCCAGAACAAGGAGCACGTACGGCCCGCCTGCAAGAAATGCGGCTACGCCGGACACTTAACCTATCAGTGTCGCAACTTCATCAAGATCGATCCCAACAAGGAGATCGTCCTGGACGTGAGTAGCACGAGCTCCGACAGTGACGAGAATTATGTCACACCGTTGACAGAGTTGCGTGAGCGCGAGTTGAAGAGGAAGTTGAAAGAGGCCAAGAAGAAGCGCAGGGAGAAGAAAGAAGCCAAGAGGAAGCGTAAGAAACGCGATAAATCGGAGGGCAGCGATAGCAACGGCGAGTTTGAGAGCGAAGAAGAAGAAAAGAAGCGACACAAACGCAAAAGGAGGAAGAAAAGTTCGAAGCACAAGAAACGCAAAAAGCACAGAAAGAACAGTTCGTCCGAGAGCAACAGTGACGCAACATAAATCACTCGTGACTCATGGATTTTCTTTTCTCGTGTCTTATGAATATAGTGAGTGGTACGCGGTGAAAAATCCCAAATATAATTGTACATATTTGATTTTTGACGAGAAGACAATGAGAGAAAAAGACAGATTTACTTCAATGTCAATATTTATGTTTATCAATATAAACTTTTATATATATGTATATATAAAAGTTTATATTGATAAATGTAATACATAAACATATATATATATAGTGTAGTGTAAGACATATATAATATGTAGTATAACACAGTCATGTCTCGTATCTCTGCTCTCTTGATTTCCAGTAATTTCTATGTTACAGAGATTATTTTATAAATAAAAGATATACATATCTCAAGATCTTTTAACAACTTATTTTAGTTATTAATTTAACTTCAACTTTGTGATTAAATAGAATGGAAGATTTATTTATTTCCTATTGTGTTTCATGAAAATTGCAATATTACCATAATAACGATAAGGTCTCGTAGTTGAATTTTTAGAATATTGGAGCATGTTGCGTCATGCTTTAGGAATTTCTAGATTTTATATTATGTCATCCATTTGATGTTTTACAAGCTTCAGGGTCAACAGTAAGAATGATAGGCAAATAAGAGCTGTTGCTGGATGTTGGCTATGAAATATTAAATCTTAGTAGGAAGATGAAATTATCCAACAATATAATACATCTGCTGTATTACTTTCTCAGATTTTCGATGTACGAGTGATATTTGGGATATTTTTTATGTTCAGTATTAGTAATATTGTGCTATTAAAATATATGTATTTGGAAGCATCTACTCTCTAATCTCAGAATAAATATATATCCTTTGTCATAATACAAACATTTCTTGAGCTATATTTTGTATTTCTTTAATAATATTTCCTTCTCTCGCTCTTACACAAAGTGTCAAATATAAATTTTACTCTAGGTACTGAACCAACACGAAAGTTTATGTTAAATTGGCCAATCACCTATGTGGGCTATCAGAGCCCGCCCGAAAAAAAACTTCGTGTAACTGAGGCTGTGTTCTGATAGTCACTGCCAGTACTGAAAATCTGTAGTATATGTAACATAAATTATAGATTTTTACTATAAATATTATAGAAACTATAGTATTGACAATGAATTTCGAAATACAGTCTGAATAGGCCTTCAAGGACCAGTTGTTCCAACTTCAGATAAATCAAGTAAATTTATCTAATCAACAATGGATTGTACGCTGATTGGGTCGACGTTTGACTCTTGTCTGCTGATTGGCTCCGACGCTCGACGCTACCATGAAATTATACCTTTAAGTGAAATACCTTTTAGTGAAACCCACCAATAGTGATGATCGATTACGTGACGATCGACTATGTTGGGGGAGATACGGGTGTTTAATTTGAATGATATAAAGAGACGCAGTAATGTTTTGTGCAAAATATAAAACACCATAGGCAGGTTCTATTTAACGTTCGCAACGACGTGTATATGTGTGTGTAGACAACAAAAATAGAATGATGCTTGCGTTAAATAGAACCTGCCTTATGTAAGACGTGATAGCTGAAAGATAACGATTAATTGACAGGATCAGAAAATATTGAAATAAAGATAAATTTTTATCACATTCAGTTTTTCCAACATTTCTTCAGTTGTTTACATTGAGAGTACATAACCATGACATTTTTATTGTCCTTCGAATTATGTCGACAATAAAGATAATACGGAAAGACAATAAGAAAATGTCATATGAGGTGAATGGAGAATAAAGTTTAGATAATGCAAGTAATTTTCAACCTACTAATATAAATAGAGCAGTGAGATATGTTTATCTTCAAAAGGGTACTTTAGGTCTGTTTTTTTCGCTACTAAAACTACACTAGAACTGCACTGAACTGAACTGAACCGCATTGGGAAAGACTAGTACAGAATAATTCAGTTCAGTGCAAAAGTGCAATGAAGAGGTCTATTCGTTTTCGCTGCACCGCTGAAACGCCAGAGTGTAGTAAACAACATGGCACATCACACGGCATTATTTGATTCTTCTGACGAAGAGGATTTTGTAATACAACCACTATTACAACCCATTGTAGATGAAAACGATGAATGTAATATACAATTAAATATAGCAAATTTATTAATAATTTATAATATTATATACTCTACCGATCATAAATTTAAATAAATGACTAAATATAAAATAAATATAAATATAAAATCATAAAGATATCTTGACATCTTAAATTCATCCTTGTGGTATGTTTGGATATTTCTGCTGTGTATGTGTGTGTGATGGTATAATATTAACAATTTTTGAAAATGAAATAAAGAAGATGTTTCACATATTTCAATATAATGCAAGCCACATAGCCACCTGAGAGAGACTTTTCGTATAAATTTCCATTACGCTTACATGCACTTCCAAGTTACACTTTCATGCACTACACTGACCACACCACCTTCTGATTCAGTGCAACAGTTTACAGAACTGCCTGTTGTAATCATAAAGATATAAGAATAGAG